CATTCTCAGTGTGTTTTTCAGGTACTGTATGTAGTACACAGTATACAGTAGGCCAATGTTCCTCAGCAGGTTATTGTACAGCCTGTCATCACCGCTGTGTTAGAACACACAGGTAACCCAGCCAGACATTTTCACTGCAGTGTTGCTGTGTTAACAGGTACATACTGACATGATTGTAAAATACATATTTCCAGCCCCTCCCCTTCCTGCTTTTTTCTGCTGGGATCAGCTCAACCTTTGCACCAGGATCTGGCAGACAGGGAGGGTTCATTAGAAGAAAGTGCTGTGTCTCAGTGAGGCCACGTACTGTAGGTGAGAGACCGCTCTCACTCTGGACTCCTTGACTTTTCTCACCGTCACCTATGGTTTTTGTCAGACTTTTCGCTGCACATCCATGTCTGCATACCTATTTATAGTACCACACTTTGTTATTTTGATAAATCCTTCATTACGTGTTTTTGTACATCACCAATCCACTTTTTGATAAATCCTTCATTACGTGTTTTTGTACATCACCAATACAGTATTTAATACACTGTGCTATTATTGTTGTTTTTTTTATTTGTGGTTTGCACGTGCAATTGTAACATATTAAATAAAGGAAAATGTGTAAAATATTTCAGGGTTTATAAGGGTTTATATTTTCTGTTTGCATTTTTTATATTTATTTTAACTAATAAAAAAGCATGGGTTAACAGATTTGCATGCATGTTGTATCATTTGATATACATGATTGAGTTGCATCAGGAGAAAGGAAACGGCGAGTCCCTTCGACCACGATGGCTGAAACATTTCAATGATTCTATTTGTAGGCTCTAATAAAAATGTAATTCTATATTATTAAAAACTATAAAAAATAAAGGAAGTCATCTTGACACCCAGCTTTGCCCCAGGTGCCGATTATCTCCGTCTAACATTCACACATTTTGTGGAATGGGCGTGCAGTGGACCACTGTGAGTTCACAGACTTCTTTATTAGCTACAGACAGCAGATAAAGAGCTGCCTCGGAGAACGGATGTGCATCATCTGAGGCTTTCTGAGCTGAAGCTGTGTGACTGCTATGTAGATAGTCTCTAAATAAGATGCAGGCGTGAGATTATACATTATTTATATCCACCGTGTCTGACTTGACACACAGGCAGCCCTGCAAGTGTAAAAAGGAACGGTTTGTACATGACCTTGACTTTGTCCAGGAAAAAAAAAAAACAGTTTCAGACCATTTTGTCAATTATTATTCCTTCTTGCTCTCAGAGCAAATTTCTAATTTGTGATGGGCATTTTCTTGTAACTTGAAGCTGGTAGACTGTGACACGGAACATTATGAAATGACTGGGACGAAGCACGGTGCAAATCAAAGGTCGCTACGCTGCTCTTTGGGAGAAAATGGTTTACTAGACTAAAGGTGGGATTTTCACTTTGGTTTTGTTTTGGTTTTTTTTGTGCAGTCACAGAGTTTCAGCAACCGGGTCTGCTAATAATATACGTACGTGTTTTCATGACGAGCCTGGAAAAGAGATGACAAACACTCAGTAGTGGGACTTACTGTAGATTCAACGTGCAATGACACAACGAAGGCTCCGTCTGTGTTTGTCCAAACATCCTCCAGTGATCTCCACTTCATATCTGTCTTTTGTAGTTAATGCTAATGCAGTCCACTATTGAGAAGCCTTTGCACTTTGTTAACACAATCCCCCGTGGACTAATTTGCCTACCTACTACTCCTTGATATTGCCCCCCTCCTCCCTCCCCCTACCCAGCATCATTGTCACTGATTCATCTGTCTCCACTGGTATCTATAAATACCCCCCACTCTCCTCTTCAAAAACCTGATTCCCATTGATTTAGTGACCTATATACACATAATCACCACCCACTCCGTTCCTCCTGCTCTCTGCTCCTTCCATCGATGCTCCTTTACTGTCCCCACCCTCCTTCCTTCCCCCCTTTTTTTTTTTTCTCCTTCCATGCCGCCGTCTCCTAAGGAACCTTCAAGGCTAATAATAATAATAACACTGTGGGCTCTGGTCATGACAGATTGAAGGGGCTTTTTATTAATCAGTATTATCAGAATTGTCACTAATTCAAAAACGCAGTCATGTGGATGAGTTGACTCTGGGAATTAGCTGCTTGTGTGTAAACGTCTGAGATGAGAGTCGAATGAAAGAGGAGTCTCTCGGCAAGACACAAAACTCAATATGAAACCCGACTCTGGCTGAAATAAGACCTGGACGCAGCAGACACGGAGCGACAGTACAACTATCTGTTTGTTTGGGTCCACGGGGTTGTACACAGATGCTGGAGTGAAACCGGAGTACTATGCTGCAAATAGAAACCTGAAACTGGAACTGTGAAAAATCACGGTGAACAATTACAGTAGTAAACTCCAGGGAATCAATAACGAATCAAAAATAAAATACTTCTATTGTGCTGGTGTGCTAACGGCCATACCTTTAATAAAGAGTCATAATTTAAACAAACAAGCGTTTTTAATATATGTACAAATAAATAATTTATCACTATGAAATGTCAAATGTTAAATATTAACTATATTCACCGCTGCAGTGGCCACAATACCGAGCTGAAGAACACACCTGAAGTGAACAACGTACCGCTGTCTAATTCTACTGTCTCTGCCGTTGAACTGTAGCTCTACTGTAAGCACACACTGACACCTAGTGGCTCCGCGAGGCAACAACTTCCCTACAGACTTAGTTGCAGCCCCTGCATCTTCAGTTCGGTTCTTATTTACACACTTGTGAACAGCCTGGCACATTTTAACTTTAAAACTTATTCCATCTCACAATGGGGAAATTAACAGTGCGAGTCTTTGCAATTGACAGGGGCCGCCACGGGAGGCGCCATTAAATACATGGCTGGAACTCACAGGCTGCCACAAAATGTGGTCGTTCAGTGGCAGTCTGTAATGATGTGAGGAAGTAAATTCCAGAGGGAGAAGGCAGCTACAGAGAACATTTTGTCCCCCCCCCCTCGGGATGGGTGTTTGGAGCGAATGACTGGGGAGAGGAGGTTTGTTTGGGCAGATCTGCGGACAAGTGAGGGGAGGTAAATTAAAAAAAAAAATAAAAATGGGGAAAGGAGTTTAAAATAGACTCATCATGACCAGATGATTACAGGATAGTCACTTTATTGAACAGCAAATCGTGACAGGGTACACAATAGTTCATCTTTTATTTATTTATTTTTCATTGCATTGCATTGTAAACAATGTCTAAGTACAACTGTGCCCTTCACTGTATATTCATGAACACCCTGGATGTCACAGACATTTGTAGATGGACAGTCTGGTGGGTCCTTGTGTTTAAAGTGCTATGATGCACATTTCCTCTTGGAGGAAGAAAACAGAGGCCTGGGAGAAAAGTTCTGACCCCACATGACCTCTGAGGTCCCAGTTGCATTATTCAGACATTGTGTGAGTTACTGTGATTGACAAGTTTGGGGTTTTTTTTTCCTCTAGTGTTTGTCTTGTGTGTAGCTTCTACTTATTGCATATCGGTGAGCTGGTTTGTGAATTTTTCCGTGAATGTGTAAAGCACAAAACTTCAAATTTAAAATGTCATAAACTCTTGACTATAATTATAATACATCTTATAACATCTAAGATACATTCTTATATCTGATTTAATTAGAATATGTAGGCAATAAACATCATTTTGTCACTGAACTGCTCATAGGTCTCCTAATGACCGCCTGTCTGAGCCCGTGTAGATCACACTTACACACACACACACAGAGAAGAGATCTTACAAAACTAAAAGCTATATCTGTGAGCCGCGTCTGCGACAGCAGCTCACGGTTTACAAAGGGCTTCGTCTGAGCAGGGCCATGTGGTTTTTCTGTGCCTTATAATCCTTTGTGCTTTCTATGATTGTTTACACTCTAAGTCATTTACATTTGGTGTTCAGAGCTCCTCTGTTTCCCCCTCGCCCTGGATCGTAGGTGCTGGGGAGAGGCTGAGGACTAAGACACGTGGAAAGGAATTAACAATGAATTCAAATGGGGGAAAACACCTCACTGACACGCCAAAAACTACACGGCAACTACAGCAATACACGGTCCGACACGCACGCACGTACAAAACCAAATGTTCCAAGGTCGGGAAATTCACAGAGTGACTTGCACAACGTTTGTCTTGAGATTCAACCAGACGTTTGGAAAATAAAAAGATGAGCAGAGGAAAGGTCAGAAATCATCACAATCTTCTCATAAACACATAAATAAACAGTATGATCACAATAACAGTACTGTATATATGAGATGATGGCAATCACAATATCCAAAAAAACAAACCAAAACAAAACAAACTACAACAGTACTTCATAACAAATCTCACATGAGCAGGCAGCTCTGTTTTTTTCTTTTACCATCGCTGGAGGTGCCAGTCGATGACCTCACTATGGCTTTCAGTTAAGACACGAACAACAATGAGAATTGTGAGTCTGCAGTTCACTCGGTACAACCTTGGTTGGCGGGGGTTGTCACACTGCAGCTACATCATGAAGAAGCACCCTTCAAAATGACAGACGGTCTGTCAGGTCCATGTTGGCCTAGTCCGGAGGCTCCCGTTTCCAAAACTGTTTAAATAGTACCACGAGTCACACAAAAAAAAAACACACAGAGCTTCATTTGGTCCGAGTTGTGAAAACAGTAGGAAACAGGACAATGGGTTGGTCGGCAGATTGAAGCAACAGCTACGTATAAAGGGCAGCTCCGAAAAACGCTGAGGGTGATCCTTACAAGTGTTCCCTTTTACAATAGACCCTCATGGTGTAGATGCATATGAGGGTAGGTCAGAGTGTTCTACTTCATATGATATAATTTTTTTTTTTTTTTAAAAAAGCCTTATTTTTTAGATCCAAATCATGGTAAGACACCTTTATAAGGGCTTTGACAATATTGATAGTTATATCCTTGTCAAGTGTGTTACATTGATCGGGTTTTTGAATCCGTAGCAAACATCCAGCTATAACTGACTCTTCTTGATATGAACTAGATTTCAGTCCAACCAGGCGAAGCAGCAGGTCGTGACCTTGTGCCATCAAGAAGGTATTATCTCTCTGTCTTAAAACTTCTTGACTTACCCTCATGTGTTGCTGTTTTTTTCTGTTCAAATATTCACGTTAGTCACGTTAAACATGTTTCTTCATTCGATATGTGCACAACAAAGTAAAATTAAAATCTTCACATGGTGGATTTCGGGCGGGGCTGGGGGTGTAGGAGAGGTAGGTGTGCAAATAAGCCATCATTACAGAACAAACAATTAATGAAAGAAAAAGATAAAAACAGTTCATATAATCTGCGTATGTACAATATAGTTAATGTGGACACTTTTGACACAGTACAACAACACATACAAATACTGTATATAGTGCTATTTAGGGAATAGTGATAAATAACCCACTCCCACCGATGGTAATACACTGAAAGGTTGCATCGCGTATCTACGGTGTAACAGTACATTTGAGGAGCTGCTCATCCAGTGGGAGTGGGGAGAAGGAATGTGACTGGACAGATACACTTCAAAGTCACCTTCATCTACGCTAGGAGAAACCAACGGCAGGGGCAGTTCTGTGACGTGCCGACGGGAGATGACAGACGCGTTCCCGGGCGGCTTAAAGCAAACAGAACCTCTAAAGCGATCACACGAGCAGAGATGATTGGTTCGGAAAATACACCGAACGATAAACTCATATCTACTGACAAAGAATGTTTTCCACTGGATCTTTGGATCCTGCCACTGCAAAAGGATTTGAATGGACTCTAAAATCAGTGGTAAACAATGGAAATAACAGACTTTGAGTCTGAAGGGACAGGAGTGGCTGCAGCTAAAGCCTACTAGCCTAATGTTTTACTATTCAGCATAAATACAGCTGTTCTACTAACAACCTGCCACTTTTATGTTCACACTAATGTGTTCTAATTTTTGGAAAACTGCCACTGCAGTGTCTGCAAACCAGGCAGTGATATCACAGTAGGTGTTTTCCGTCATCCTTCAGAGGTAACCCCTACTGTGACATCACTGATTAGCCTGTAGTAGGTTATGGTGAAAAGCCAGAGCCAGTCCAGGGTAGGATCAAATTCTCATTCAAACCTGTGGTGCAGCCGTAGAGTCTCTACTTCCCCTTATCTATAACTGGCATATCCTTAAACTGAGAGATGAACTGAACCTAGATTTAAACATTCTGAGAGGACACTGCCAGTTGACCGGTATCTACCACAGTGTTCCCCAACCTTTTTGGAGCCACGGCATTTACATTAGAGAAGAAATGTCACAAAATTATATGCAACATAATTCTGGATAGGTTTGAATTTACCTACTCAGTGTGAAACCTGTGCCTGTTTAATGGAACACAATGCTGACACGCTCTCAGGAATCAAAGAAAGATTTTCTTCAACAGCTTTTCTATAGTTTTTTTTTAGCATTTGCTGCCATCTAGTGGACGAATATGTAATTGTTCTGCCTGTCACGGTCACATACAGTACATGAATAAATTAGAGCTCTCAGATAAATTAAGTGAAATGATCTCTCATGGCACACCGATGTGCCGCAGCACAGAGGTCGGGAATCACTGCTCTACAATATACTGTAGCTCAGTACCTGTAGAATAGGTCATAATGCCCGAAACGTAGTTAAGGTGCCTTCACGTGACCACAAAACAGAGCAATCTCTTTAGAAAGGCAGCATATTGGAAGCATTACGGCAGCACTTTATATCAGATGGAACCTGATCTACTTGAGTCGAATGGCTGAGCTCATAAGGACCATTTACAGGAATAGAAGTGTCCTCTCAGGAAGGATTCTGTAGGTGCTCTAATGGCATCGACACATAACTCTGGCATAGATTTGTTTACTTTCAGGGTATAGGGCCTGGGAAATATTAGAAGGAACATTTTGTAGATATTTATATATAAATATACTTAAGCTACTAGTCACAAATACAGGCAGAGTAATTCATTTAGCTGGTTAGGGATTAAAATCTTCTATGGATTACTATGTTTTTCTCTATGATTTACAGGATGACGTAGCAAACTTCTGAGACTGTAGAACTGCAGCAACAGAGGGCAGTACGTCTACTTTGAAAAGTCCACATTCAATCATTTTTCATAACATTGCAATAAAACCTCTGATTATAAAGTGATTAATTTTTTTTCTAATCCAAAATATCAACTGATATCTGTGGCTTTATTTCCAGGGCGACAGTTGAGTGGGCCTACTGGAATTTTGTGTGCCACGACAGGCAGCTTGGCAAACCAATGCTCTCTCCTTAATTATTTTTTTTTTAAACATTCAACAAAACAAATGAAAAGAAAAGAAAATAGAATTGGTCTCGATCGAACAAAAACCTTCTATCAGTGCGAGGTGATTACTCACACAGTTGATGGGACGGGAAGGCAGTAAAAAGGTGCTTTTTACTTGTCTTTCTTAGGCAGGAAGCTGAGTATAAATTCACCCACGCCCAGGAAGTAGACCACCTGGGCGATGCCAAACAGTGGTGCGATGACCAGGGCTCGACAGTAGGCTCCTTTCAGGAACGCAGAGGGACCCTCGTTACGCATAATTTTCCTAGGAAACGATTGAAAGAGCATTTCATTTCAAATGTAATCGGAGACACAGAGATCATCATTCCAGCGGACGCGGTGAGACGTCCACTTCACCCCCAGCCCACCCAGGTTGTGCGGCAGCGAAGACACAATGAGGTTACCTGATACAGTCTGTCACGCCGCTGTACGTGTCTTCTGAGCTCCCTCTGTTCAAGGACTGCAGTCGCGTCTTTATCACTGCAACACACACACACACACACACACACACACACAGCTCAGGTGAATTCAGAGCCCACTATCAGCTCATACATTTCTGTATCAACCTTCACTGTCCCGCTGCTCACCATCTACAGGGTTGACAGCAACCGCTGCCGTGCTCCCGGCGAGGCAGCCCGATATAAATGACACGTAGAAGGGAGCGGGGCCTTCTGCACCTTTATTACCCATTTTATTTAGATTAGCGAAGAGGGGGAAGTAAATGATGGAGAATGGAACGTCCCTGTGAAAAGGAAAAAAAAAAGAAAAAAGGATAACACATGAGTACAGTTTGTTGCAGCTGGTTGCTAAAAGTGCAGCGTTGCCAGATCTGGCCTACCTGAGCAATGTGGCACCCAGGCCTTTATACAGGCCAGCAATGCCTTTCTCCCTCAGTAACTGTCTTGTGAGCTGCATGGCTGTCTGGGACTTGGTCTCAACAGTCCCTGGTGCCACTGTCTCTGGCATCAGCTTCCTCTGAGCGGCTGTGGGGAAATAGAACACCGAGCACCAGTTAGAGTGAATGCAAAACCTGTTAGGATTGTGTTAAAGTAACGGAAATGACTCATTATGTCGAGTGTTGTATGTTGTAATTACCAACTTCACCACATGAGACCACTGTTTCTCTATCCTAAACATGAGTCCATAACTTTCTCTTTTTTTTTTAATTTTCTCTTACCAATTCTTCCAGCATCTTGAAGTTGAATTTTCAACATCTCCATGGGGGTCGTAACAATAACCTGCAGTCAAATCAGATAAAAGACGAGAGCTGAAACGTTTCTTCACATGTGATGTTTCACGTTAGTGTTTCAGGCTAATTCCAACTTCATGTCTGGTGTAAACCTACTGATCACCCATAGGTAAATGTCAGCTTCTGTTTTGTTTTTTTTTCCACAATAATCCATGTAGAGCTAACTAGTTAACTGGATTTAGGCTGAGATAGCAGCATTTTCAACAGGATTCTTAATACAAGGTCTACTGTGTTTAATCTAATCACGTTCTTTGGGTTTGAGCTTTGCCCTTATTAACAACAGGGCAAACGTTTTACCCTGACACACTCCGGCACTCAAGGCTGAACACTCCCACAGTATCTGATCTGATCACTCTCATCTGGCTGCCGTCGCTGCAAATCTTAATTTTATGAATTGCGAATCATAAAAATGTGAACCCAATTATTTAAAAAAGACACATAAAAAAGAATGTTTTTAAGACTTGCTGTGTTGACATTGCGTGTCAACACATGACAACATTGATGAAGGTGATAACAGGATTTTGGAGTAAAAGCAAAAATGCACCTAATTACTTACCTGGCAAGTACCTGCCCCACAACCTGCCAGCATTTCTTTGAGCAGTGTGAGCTTTCTGGAATGATAAAAATAGAGATGAACAATAACTGTACAGGAAACTAAGACAGAGACCTGCAATATTAGCTTAGTACCATAAAAACGACCAGTACAATATCTTTGTTTTATTTAAATCTTTATATCACTTCCATCTACTGAATCCATTTCTAAATCTTGAATATTTTCACATAGAAATATTTTCATTGCTTGCAAAAAAAAAAGGAAAAACACAACTAACTAGCAGCTCACCGCTAACTAACACTTCAAACTAAGCATTACTTCACGTTACTTCACTGCTCTCTAGGTTTTCACGAATGTAAATGTACATTCAAGGTTTCAGTGTTGTTCAGGAGAGACTTGACAAACGTTAATTGCTGAGCGATGCTGTTTTTGTGTTGCTGTCAGATGGAGTCTATTTTCAAGCATAAAGCCGCCTTCTCTGACCTGTGCTGAAGTGCTAGTCTGGGTCTTCCACATTAACACGTCAAGCATGAGGGCAGATTAATAATTCACAAGGAGAGCGCCTAAGCCAGACAAGTCAATCGTTCATCGGCTTCCTTATTTGTCACCATAGAGACAGAAATAGATGCACCAGAAACCTTCAGGTGTATTTGTGCAGACACTGCCCCCGGGGTACAATGTGCATCTAGTACTGGCGACTGTTAACACTTAGGCCACTGACACCCCCTACAGAATCTAATACTTTAACCCTTTAGTGTGATTTTTAACACGTTATAGCACGCTTATAGCACGCTGCTACATATACCATTACTGCTAAACCATGAAGCTAACAAAAGATTAATTAACTGCAAGATGCTGGCTGGATTAGCCTTGGCAGCTAATGTGTCAGATTACAGGAGAGTCAACACAGCCTTTAATCACACTGTGTATTGGGGGGTGTATAAGTGTCACTCAACCTGTCAGAAGTTTTATGCCTCACCCGTCCTTAGAGAGGTGATGCCTGAAGAAGTCATTGGCAGCCAATTTGATGGCTTTCTCTGGGGTCACTAGGGTTAAATTCACTGCAGCCCCTATGAAGACATAAAAACAATGGAGAAAAAGAGAAAAAAAAATAAGAAAAACACAGCAGCTTTACTGATAATATTGATCTCGTGTCGTTTAATCAGAGGAACTTACCTCGGTACATTCCAAAATAGCCCTCTGACCGAATGGTTTTGATAAGGCAGTCTGACCTGAAATGATGAAAAAACATCACTACTGATTATAGGGTAGGAAGTGGGGTCTGTGGGGTCTTTGTCATTCATAAAACACAAGAAGTCTTTGGCACCTACATGCTGGTGTAGAGGCGAGACCCATTTTGCTGGTTTTGCAAGCGGGTCTTGGCTAGGTCAATGGGAAACACACAGGTCACTCCAATCAGGCCAGCGATCCCCCCATTAATTAATTTGGCAGGCAAACTGGACGGAAGTGGTGAAAAGCATTCAGGTCAGCAGAAATGAACAAGGCCTTAGTGATGAGAAAATAATTTAGGGACTTTTTTTTAACCCACCTGATCTGCTTGTCAGCCATTTATCTCTAGCCAGGCTGCTCAAAATGCTAATCTGTTAGCTCGTCGGAGAGAGAGAGAGAGAGGGGAATAGAGTTAATGATGGGTCTGTTGAATTTGACTTTCCCAGTAAGAGTAGGATGTCTGGTTCTGGTTATTTTCTCCCTTTAGCGTTTCTGGAAAAAAGACAGAAAGAACATCATTAGGTTACATTATGTCCAATTCAAAATAAAAAAGAGAGGTCATCACAAATAAAAGGTCAACATCTGGTAACAAACAAAAAGAGTAGTCAAAAATACAATCCAATATTTTTTGCCATAACTCTTTGTTATGTCCCCAGGTATTACAAAATGAGACACTCGGTCAGAGATGATTCTTTTCTAGTGACATTAAATGAATTTTGAATGATGCGGAGCTTTGTATTCAAAAAAAGATGCACACTAGTACATTGGAATACATGTCTGCACTATAGAAAGAGGATACATTTTTGTTTAAAATATTACATTTTTAAAATACTAGATACTCGAGGGGGTAGGAGGAAATATTTTTGAGCCTGTTTTATTGAATCACTCAGCCTCCGGCCAAATGTGAGAGGGATGAGCTTCTTGATGGGGAGGGACTTGTACTCAAGTCAATTTTATCAGCCTTCTCCAGTTACAGTATTAACCTCCATGGAGCTCCTGCAGAATAGTATTTTTTTATTTTATACGGGTGGAGTCAACATTTAATCCACGAGGTCTTTGTACAAACTGAAAAAGGTGATGAGCCGTTCAGTGTCAAGAGGAAGGAAAGTTTGTTTTCAATGACTGTACGTTGACAGTTTTTTTTTTTCCCCTCCTGCGGGCTCAGAATTCTGAAGACAGTATTAAAGTGAGGTTCTTCGCTTTTGATAAAAAGCATCAGACATTTACATTTGGTCAAACTTCTACTATGTGTGGACTAATACCAGTACTGTTGTGGTTATTATCAGGGAAAAGAGAAGCTAAAAGGGAATTGATTTACTTCCACTGTCCAATTATGTAAGTACACACATTTGGCAGCAGGGTCATTTAAAAAAAAAAAAAAGATCTTTAAAGGTGAAAAGGTGTGACTGGTTCTGTAAGTGAAGCTGTGATGGACTGACTACAGGGTGAAGAAAAGGTGTGAAGTGCAGCTGTGATGGACTGACTACAGGGTGAAACCAGAGAAGGTAAAGAAATGGTTCGTTAATGAATGGATGGGTGGATGAATGGCATTAGTAGGAAATCTGTACGTGTGTGTGTGTGTGTGTGTGTACTCATCACGGCTTTGTATGAAGGACGGACAAAAGGTTACACCCTGCGACCGACAAGAACACAACCCACACTCACATGTTGTGACCTGTTATTAAGCAGCCTCTATGGCTTTTCCAGTGGGGGACAGGCCTCATTCTGCAGCCATTCAAACACACCTTTCAAAACTCTCTTCTTTCGTAAATACCTTCCTCACAACGAAGACGAGAATCAACCCAACAATCGAAATACGCCCAGAGAGGGCAGAGACTCCGCAGCTCCTCGAAAGTCAAAAGACATTTTACTGGAGTCGTCTATAGCATATTCTACTTCGAAATGAACAAATGAGTTAAGCTGCGAACACCGGAATGTTTCTTCTAAAACCTTCTAAAAATATTTTCTCTAAATTTTCACTCCATGCGCATGTGTAGGTTATACAAATATTTTGATCAAACCGACTGATGTCATTTCGTCAACCGTACATGAGCTTTAAACACAACCAAGTCTATTTTAATGAAAGGTGCCCAGGCATTAAATACACACCTGCCTGACAAGTGAGTAAACCGGAGTAGGTACGATATCGCCTGCGGTGAGTTCAGAAGGGCCTCTTTTTTTAATTTTCTCAAGGATTTTATGATTAAGGTTCGAACGTGAGGCCTGCAGTCATTAGATGGTGCAGGTAATTAGATACAGTACGGGCCCAATCATAGAGCAAGGCTGTCAAGAAGGTTGGATTAAGAGGTCAAGATTATATAAAGAAAATGAATTCAACCAGTCAGGAAGAGAAAAGAATAAGAAAAAACAATGTCTGTTATTGTTTTTCACTTTTCTCTTCCACTTCCACCAACGCTTCTGATTTGTAAAACTAAATTGCCCGTGCTCCTGCTCTCCTCTGCCCAAGAATTTGGATCTGATTCTGAGTCACTCTGAGCTAAACAATAAGTATCTCTGAGCTGGTGATCATGATTGAGTTTCAAGGATCTCTGTTGTGGACCAGACACCACATATAAGCCTGTGTTAGAAGCCCTAAAGGTTAAAAATGTTTTCCTATGACAAACTAAATCTAAATCTTCTTATAAAATATATAGTTAAAATATATGAAATATATATAAATATACTCTTTACCATGACATTTACCAATGTCTTTCTTTTCCTATTTTCCTGTGAATGCATCAGTGTCAGTTAAAACACAGCCTAACCTGGTTGAAGCTACGACAGTTTGAAATGTCAGTTCACGGAGTTCATGCTGAACAAATCCCAGAGATGATGAGCCTCAGATATTCGCTATATTTGTACAGTGTAGGACAAAAAAAACATTCAGAGTGAAAAGAAAAGATGCTTCTCATTTTCCCTGTCATTCTCTCCACCCACTGCATCCACCAATCACAGCTTACCTCTACGTGTACAACCTGCCTCCTCCTCTCCTCTCCTCTCGTCTCCTCGCCAGCCCTCCCCCCATAACTTCCTCCAGTCACGATTCACAAACACATCCTTTCCCCCTCAGATCTTTGCTGACGGGTAGGTTTTCTCTGCAGAGTGAGTCACTTGTGTGACACCGGTGACACTAAATCCTGAGGATCGGCTTCAGAGGGATTACACAGCATGCATGCATGTTGACTGTTCCCACAACTGCATCTCGTGATGAATGCAGCTGTGGTTTGATGTGTTTGGTTTAGGATGGAGGCTGGAGAGAGGGTGTAACAACAGGTCAGCAAGCTGCTCCTCTGTTCTCCCAGCTGCTCTTACCTAACAGCTCACAGCTCACTTCCTCTCAACGCGGCCGCTTTTTCACCAAACAAACACACTAGGCACGCTCCACAAAAGAACAATGTCACGTTTCGTCGATGGCTTCCTCTCAATGATTCACTGAATATACTTTTATATATACTTTATAATATATAATATACTTCTATAGCCTTTCTTTTTTTTTTAACCAACAGTTAACAAAATGGTGGTTTTCAGTTGAGTCAGACCATTAAAGTGACATTTCTCGTCTTTTTTTTTCCAACCCTGCAGCTTTGCTTGTCAACCTCAACTCATGTACGCCGTACAACTGTGTCTGTTCCAAGTCCAGTGTTTGACTCCCTCACTGCAGTGTCTCCCGAAGACCAGTGGGCCTTGTAAGAAAACAAGACATGCAGATTATAGAGTATGTAGCAAAACATGGCAATCAAGCAGCACAAGAACAGTATTCAAGATATCCCTGCAAAATAGGAAATGGAAAGTTGGAGTGTGTGATTGTGGTTAACTTATCTCTCTTTTTGTATTTTATCTCTTTTTTGTTGCAAGTAACCGGGATGCCTCTACAGATGTATATATCTATCACTTAAAATAAGCCAGCAGGAGGCAGTAACGCAAATAATAAGGTGCTGAGCATTTTATGTGAGGCTGATAATAACAGGCTAATTACAGGGTTAGCTTAGCCTAGCCTAGTCTATCCTGAATGGAGACTGACAGTATAACTTCACGTCAGACACTGACACTGCCTGGCTGGCTACAATAAATGTCAACTCATCAAATTAATGATCACTTCTTTGGTTAATTACATAATTCAACTAATAATTAAATATAAATAATTATTAGTTACATTAAATATTTTTTTCCAAAGAAATTTTACATATCACAGCTTTCAAAAATTGCTTTCAGATAAGCAGATATAAGAACACGCATAGAGAAGGTGTATGTCTGTTTATGTGTGTGTGTGTGTGTGTGTGTGTGTGTGCCTGCCTAGTACATGCAGATAAGAACTGATGAGCAAACAGGAAAGGACAAGGTTATTGGAAAACTTCACATGTTCACATGTCGAACCTTGAACTTAAAACAGAACCGGCCAATAGACTACGCTGATCCTCCAGATACTCACAAACAGATAACAGTTGGTGCTGACCCTTGTCCATCACTAAAACGTAAGCAACAACACAATAAGCACTTAGCTGCTCACACCTTATCAGTTAAGACACTTCTGTCTTAGAGCTCCGTTAAGGCATCTGTTAAACATTACAAATGCAATAAAAAAACTCACAAATACAATTAAATATAATTAGAATTCATTTCTAGGGGGGAAACATCCCCCCATGTTTGGGGACCACTGGTTTAAACATTCCAAAACTCTTGACAATCCACAACAACAACAACAACAACCTCGGTCTGTGCAGCTCTGTGCCTGCCTCTGTCCTCGACTTTTAAAGAGAAAAAAAAAGGGTTCTGCTGACTCTATCACATTAAGTGTGGCGATAGGAAGACATGACGGGAAGGGAGAAGTGACAGAGCTGTGAGGAATCACTGCACTCACATGACTGGCTGCACTGTCAAAGAGGCAGAGAATAAATGAAATCAATCACACCAGCCTTTCCTCGTTAGAGAATCCTGTCATTTCAGCCCATCTGTCTAATGTGAAATGCTCTTGTTATCAAAGCACGGTCTGAGCGACAGGGGATCTGCACAGAGGTCTGCCATGAACACAAGTGTGTGAGGTAACGCGGAGTCTGGCTCTAATATCAAACACAGCCTGCCCGCTGTCTGTCCACTGTTACATTCCTCAGTGATCTACAAGTATTATATTCTTAAAGTTATAAATCGAATTCCTACTCACGACGAAGGCCTCTTCAATCTAAGCACAGCAATGCTTTTCCAGTGCAAAGGTATGGTGTAGAATTCAGCCCCTCTGACACCACAGGTATCCCTGATGGCCCAGTTTCTGGAGTCACGTGAGCATTTATCTGTTTTGGCTCCATCTTGGCTGCCCAGTGGCCTTGATAAGGACACAATACTTCCACTGTGTGTGAGGTTTTCTTTCAAAAAACAAACAAATGCTGCATTGAGGCATTTGGTTACCTTTAAAAGCGCAAAAACCGTTCACAGAGGTATACAGCACCTCTTGAGAAGTACTTCTAAAACACCTTCTTGTTCACCAGATGCAATTGTGCTGAATCTTCGACACTTACCAACTGTATGAATATAACTGTACTGAATAAAAATATAAAGGTGAAATGATATCGTAAACACACTAGGGTTTTTCTTCTTCTAAAATATAGCAAGAGCAGAATTTTTAGCACGACAGCGAAAAGGTACAATATTCCTGCTTCAGAGAACAAGATAGGTCACCTTACACCCAAGAATGGCTCAGCTCATCAATTATTTCCAGGAAAGCTATATTGCATTCACTGCGTGGCCTTATAACGACCTACATACTACTTCTACTAATACACTAATACAGGTGACTATAAGGAAACATGTGCATGGACTATAAATAGCATATGCATTGCTGCAAGTGTTAGCGCCCCACTTTTTAGTGGGCTTCATTTTTAAATAGATTATATTAAAATGAGTATAAATGTAACTTGCGATAGTGAATATATGAAGAATGTCTACACATCATACAGGTAATATTATTCTTAAATATCTATTTTGCTGATGGGCAGACCTGGTGGAAGACGGAAATAAACACAAAGGAGGCCAGATGCCATTAATACAAAAGAGGAAGTAGGATTGCAAAGAGGGGCAGGATTAACACAGGCTCATTCACTGCTGTGACCTTTAATGCACTGTGAAAAACAATGTAATATTACTGAAGCAAGAATGTACATTTGTGGACATATTTGTGGTTTAATAAAGTCAAATAGGGTGCAAATGGGTGTTATGCTGGCTAATAGGTGTCAGTTGTAAGGTGCAGTTATTATATATTTATTCACTGGAGAAACCCTAGACCTGTAATCGAATGTATTACATGTATTATTATATATATTTCTTTTCATATTCATATTATTAATTTATTTTATTTTTTTACCAGCACAATCAACTCTTGAAGCAGAGCAGTCAAACATCAATTAAGGCAACTCTGTGGGAAACTGAGCTGGAGATGCATGCTTTAAGTTGTAAACGACAAGCTAGAACTGCAGACCCAAACTATAAGGATATAGCTTTTAGCTGCACGTCAATGTGGTCCACTCTCTACAGTTGTTATTGCAGTTAGCGCCCTGGCAGTGAGCTACTCCTAACACTGGGCTAGTTGGCTAAAAATATTGGAGCGCTTTAACATTCTTTTGTGCTTTGCACCTTAAATAAGCAAAATATTTAATTATACTTCTAAACAACAACAAAAAAACAACTCGAAGTTTGCAGCAAATAGCACCCCACTACACAAAAATATTCTAATTTGGGATATGCTATTTTAATATTTGTTAACCTAATTCTTTCATCTGTACAACGCCACCTTTCTTCTTTTGGTTTCAACAGCAGCTTTGCATCCACCCAGTTGCTATAATGACCTCTACTGGCCATATTTTCCAAATGAAGAGATTTTTTACCCCAGAAATGTCCTTATCATTTCCAAAGAGATATTATTTTTAATTTTAATACAATTCACTTTTTAAAAAAACAAAAACAAAAAAAGCCGTTAGTATCCCTGCCAATGAACCGAATGTCATATAATTTATAACTGAGGATTAGGTTTATGTGATTATATGTACTTTTAAGGAAATTGTGTAATGTCACATTAGCATAGCCCGTCAGATACCTGACAGAGGGGGTTTAAAAACGGCGGAACCTTCAAGCTGCTGAGCGATACGACGAAATTAAAACATTTAAATTCACGAGTCTTTGGGTTCAGCTAGAGTGAACGTCACATGTGAGTGGTTGTGGTGAATGAATAACGGGGGTTAGAGTAGTTCAACGTGATTACAATACGTGAAACTACAGCTCACAGTGCTGGAGCTGACAGGAAGCAGCTGCTGGAACCGTTCTGGAGGAAATACTGTTAATGTCTAGGTAATTCTCGTGGTACGTTCTAGAATTCAAACAAGCCTGACAAACACACAGCGAAAACACAGCATCTGTAACACAGTCATTAATAGCAGCTGTGTACACCTCCCCGTCTGTTTCTCTGTAAAACATTAAAAAGACATAAAAGAACCAGGACTGGACATTGTTAAATCCCGCCGTGATGACGTTACATTTACACAGCCGGTATCTGTCAGGCCTCCGCCTTCGACACGAGCGCGTTTAAACTTCCGTTATGCGGAATTTTCCACATAACGGAAAATAATATGTCGCTACTCTCTCTTCACTCTCTCCATCTGTACCGACGAAGCCACAGCCTCCGTCCCTCAGACAACCACATCTCTCTCTCTCTCTCTCTCTGTCTCTCTCTCTCTCTCTTCCAGAACCTGCATCATTTTCCTGTCACGTCTTATCCATTTTTCTCTCTTTTATTATTTTTGTTTGTTCATTCCCAAAGTAAACAGAAAAACGATGCGTTTGCTGCATGCCGTTATATTACGTTGTGTACGTACCCGACAGATGCGTCTCTGTAAGTCAGTCCTGCTGCGGGTTGTAGAGTGAAATCAAAGCCGTCGCTCAGAGTGTGTATGTTTGTACGTGTGCGTGTGTGTGGGTGTGTGTGTGTGACTGGTTGACAGCAGTGGACTTACCGGCGTTAGCGTTGGAGTCCAGTGGAGGAGGAAGGTGAGGAGGGTGAGAGCAGGCAGAGGAGGAGGCAGCCAGGCTGTCGAGTTGGTAGGGGGAAAAAAACACAGAAGTGAAAAAGCAAAACAGAGACCTCAAGTGGAATATAGTGGAACTGCAGTACCATTATTAATAAGCGTAAGTGTAGAGGTGGGGACTAGAGTTCTGACGTCACAGTGACGCTTTTTCTCAACCCGCTGACCTTGAATATACAGCGAGGGATGATGCTCTGTGTATCATTTAGCACAACACAACATGTCTTCATGCAACAATCAGATGTAGCCATGAAAATAACATAAAAGACCTCTAATGTAGCTCGAAATTGAATTCCCACTTTTAAGGTACAATGTGTAGGATTTTTACAGGAATATCAGAACATATAGTCCTGAAAGGTCATGTTGTGGTTGAATTGTCTAATGAAAGAACCGGCCGCAAGAGCATAATTTAAATCTGCTCTAAAATTATTACAATGCAACAAGAAGGCTTTATCTCTGTAATATATTCAATAATCTTTCTATAACTTCCTGGAAATGTCCATCAAGGCTTTACTATGTACTTCCTTATTAGAGATATAATGGCACTTAAGACCTTATCAGTTTTTGCTATTAGATTTTAAAATAACTGTTTACAAAAGCTAATTTTTGGTTGTCCTATACATGTTTCTTTGTTGTGTGTTTTTATTTAGTTTAGTTTTTTTTAATTTATATCTGTTTGAAGATTATGCATTTATTTAAATATTTTTTGTTGTATGCACCTATGCCTAGAAGTGGGTTTATGTGTGAAATATACTCCGCAGTAGAACTTTACAAAAATCAATTGCTTAGTTATTACAGACACAAACTGGAGAAGTCCCTCGGAAAGGGCAAAGGTCAAATCCCCTTGGTTTTCTACACTGTCACTCCAACAACATGTCACCATAAATCTGACGTTGTTAAATTAATTTACACAACAAATAATGATTCATTAGCAGTAATTCCATTATATTTTATTAAGACCCATTGCAGTATAAAGACTGCAAATTACACACATATTTGTACATAGTGCAAAAATAATAACAAAAGAAATCGACTCAGTATTTTCACATCACATTTGCTCAGTAGAACCATTAAATATTTCATGTCAATTTGGCAATAATAAAATCCTTTGTCGCTGAGTTGGCACCTGAGGTTCACGTGTTGCTGGGCGACCAAAGGCACTCGGAGAAATAATTGTAACAACAAAAACATATTTCTCCTACTTCCATCATTCACACTCACATTTACCAGGCATCACCTGCTGCCTGTTATCTCTACTAAACTGTGCAGTTGACATTTTATTTCATCATATTCATTGGATAAAACATCTGAATAATTAACATTGTTCTGTTAATATTATTTAACAAAATATTTCAGTTAAGAATAACATTATTATTGATCGTGTTTTAAATACCATGTCACAGTGATGGTCGTCTAATACAAAGGTCACTGACTCAAAGCCTAAAATGCTGATAAAAGTGGTTTGTAAAGTTAAAATTGTAACCATTGTCAACTTACCAGCGTCAGTTTTAATTTGGCGGAATAACTCATTTCTCTCAGCTCCTGCCACAGAGAGGCAGCTACAGTTTGGTCCTGTTCTCTGACACCGAGGCCGTGTTGACAGTGTAAAGTGAGGAAACAAAGTCACAGGCTATTGTCCTTTGATGTTGGTCCAGGTAATATAAAAGCTACAGGCAACTGGTAGCTGGCTAACACAACTGTCTATTCCAAGCCAAATGTTATGCCAGCAGCATGAGATGATGAGACAGCAGCAGGTCACTGAAGTGGAAAACCAGCCATCTGTACCTGGCTATGGCTCATCAAGGGAGGGGCTCTCTGCCTCCAGGCCGAGCCTCTGCAGATTGGCTGAGTACTTTCTCCTTCCTATACTGACTATATCCTCAATCTCATCTGCTATGTCTTTCCTCCCACTCTGTATCATAGCAGCCACCAACTCTGAAACAGCACCAGGTCCTGCAGTCCTTTGCGCCCGGGCCCAGAGGAACAGCATGTCCAGCACCGCTGCTCCCAGATCGTCCCTAGGGAAAAAAAAAAAAATCTCGTCAATTTTTCATGTATCACTTACTTAAAGTGTAAAAACAAAACAAATCGATAAAATGTTTTCTCTTCGACTTTCATGGACGTAAACAATGCGTTTTCCCTTCGACTTTCATGGACGTAAACAATGCCGAATTTGTCCTTCATTTCACTGATGATTAATGAGAGTTTTTTTCCCCCAGTGGCAGAGGGAGGAGGTGGAACAGCTGAGCATCAATCTGTGCATAATCTCCTGCAGGTTCCCAGATGGCTGAGTGAAGGCTGACACCACAGATTAAAACAATCAAAATTCTCCACCACTCCTCTCCCACTGCGGCCTTTTCCTTGCATATCTCCCTCCCTGTGGATCCACGAGAGGCTTTGACTATGCAAACACACACTCATTACATCATCCACTCATGCAAACCCCCTCTGCTGCACTTCTCTCTTCAGACCACACCAGAGAGCCACGTTCTACGGCAACAACTGTTGCTGATTGATGAAATGCAGTGTAGACATTTGGTTCCTTTAAAAAAATACTCTTTAAAAATCATACAGAAGTCTTTCAATTCAGATTGTTTTTGTGTGAATGTGGGGATTATGATTATGGAGTGTGTACAGGGAGGAAGAGCGACTACAGATCCCTGTAGATAGCTGACATTATTCCTTTTTAAATATATTTTTTATGCTTGAGGATTTAAATTTGTAGTTAAAATTCATGTTTAAATTTGTCAACCACATAAAGAAAGGCCAATATTCATGTACTAGAGACAGAGTGGTGAAGAATTTTGTTTGAATTCTTAACTAAAAACTTAAAAAATAAACCGACGCATATCGTTGGTGAACTTGAACTCCAAAGGACACACCTGTGTTTGTACTGGATGCGATCCAACTCCTGGTAGCTCAAGCCAAGGTTGATACCAATGTTACGCCAGTCTTTTCCGATCTGAAGAGAGATGGACAGCAGGTTGGCTTCTGTCAGATACCCGCTCTCAGGGTCACCCAGATTCAGAGGAGGATGTTGGAGCTCATCCAGAATGTAAGTGTTGTCCGAGTTCAAAGCCTTCAACAGAAACAAAATTATTTCTAAAATAAATACATGAAACTCATTGAGCAATGATCTGCGAATTTCTAAAGAACACAAGAAACAAAATTAGTTTTAAAATAAATACATTGAGCAATGATCTGCGAATTTCTAAATATGTCGACACTGACAGGAAGTCTTAGTGGCAGAGTAGCAAGCCACTGGCTGTCGTTTCCTTTCCTCTTTTTCACAACATCCTCTGGCAAATGGTTAGGGATTTCCCCTCTATAAAAAGACACCTGTAAAAACAAAAGAGAGACAAATGCATTGGTAGATCAAATTTGATGCTCCTGGTGATGCTCCTGGGATATGTACTTGATTAAAAAGTACTGAATGAACAGAATATGTAGTTTAATAAAGCTGGAGTCGGAGCCATTATTGATCAAGGTATAAAAATCACTTTAGAGAACACTGTATACGGAATACTGTGGAATGAACAGAAGACCAAAATCCATAAATATGCAATGCTTTAATGTAGATCTTTGAAAAAAAAAAAGCCAACAGTTTCTGTTTTAAAACTCAACTGACATAATCATGTAAGAACAGCAGTGTTCTTAGTTTCAGGTCAGAACACACATTAAAAGAAGTGCGTCTTACCTGTCCCCTCACTGGTCCCTTCTGTCCCTCTGCTGGACAGATGTACACCTCCTTCAAGTTTTTCAGACTGGAGTAAAACACAAAACACAGGCGTCCTTGCACGCAGTCCGGCCTGTCTGAAGACAGAAGCACCAGGAAACACAAAATAATATAATATGACATTAATTTTACTGCGTTCGTGCATTTTTTTTGTAGTTGACTAAGCACGAGGCTGAAGCTAATTCTACACCTTAGCTGCAAAATACACGGTTGTCATTTTTTTTACTCTATAAAAGCATCTGAATATAAAAAAAAAAACAAGGATGGACACCAAATGACACGTTAAAAATAATTCACGTTTCCTACTAATAGAATAAAGCATTTATCGAAGAGCAAGTCAATCGGTTGTGGAGTTTAACAGAAATATATTTGTGAAAAATGGAAAAAAAAATAAAGATTCTTAAAAAGTTTTGAAAAAATTTCGGACCCGTGCTGATATCGAGGCCTCTTTCAAAGCCAGCAAAGAACTGTTCTCCTTCTAGTAGGTCACACAGATCTGAAGGCTGAGGTCCGTCATACTGTTCTGACAGAGAGTGAATCCTGCTTTCAACCTGGGGAGAAAACGAAAAACCATGAAATTGACACCACAGAAATGTAAGAATGTCTCTCCATTACTCATTTAAATTCAATGTATTTTCAAGTGTGCATACGTATATTTGACCTTGTTACAGGGTAAACACTGTAGCAGAACTTGTGACAGGTCAGTCCTTCGCTGTAGCACCAGGAACTGGACTCTAAACTGTTTTAGTCTTTGGTAGACCTTCCGGGCCACTCCACTGACATACTGCTGTGTGGTGTACCACAGCCAGTACCTGTGGAGGTTGACAGAAAACCGCGTTGGTGCTGTGCAAACCAACGATTACGAAGAACTGTCCGAGGCTGTCGGACTGAAACTCACCAGGAGAAATGGTTGACGTAGAAAACAGCGTACAAATGGGTGAGCTGGAGAGACACCTGTGAGGTGACGTCAGTCCAGGTTTGGGCGGCGGGGTCTCCGTGGAGCAGATGCAAACGCTCCATGTCGACAGTGTGGCCTACAGAGACAGCAGACATTTAAAACATGTTGACATACAGACGGTACTACGTAACTACTACATGTAGTTATATAGTACACAAAAAGCAGCGTTTGTCACAAAAAGAATTCACAGAGACAAAGCAATCTTTTTTTTTTTGCCATTTTTAACAAACGGCAAAAGGTGAAAAAATACGAAAACTAAATCTTGAGTGCAACATTTCTCATGGTTTTCATACTTCTACTCTGACACCAACTCCTTCAGCCCCTCTGCTTGATGTTTGTCACAAAGACTTTTGTTGGATTATCTCTAAAAAACATTTAAAAATCAGCTAGGACGGAATACTTGTACCATTAAAGCCCTAATATGTACAGATGATGTACCTGTGACCCCAGGGGGCAGAGGGATCTGGACCTTGACAGATTGTAAGAAATGCATGTTGGGAGTCTGAGAGAGGCAGATGAGAGGACTGACCACGGTCTGATGATCGCCACATAATGTCTGCACCTCTGACATAGACACCTCCAGCACCTGCAGAAACAGAGACCACGCAACACCTCTTAATCCATGAAAAGGAATGTACACATGATGAAGGACTGTTCCACTTGTTGTTCCAACCTGTAAAGTCACGCTGCGAGTCTCCACAGTGCAGTCTGGTGGAAAGGTCAGTTTGACTCCCGGGTCTGAGCTGGACACAAGCAGAGCTCCAGCTGGTGAAACCGAGCAACTGTCCTTCACTGGACGAGACACCGCCATAAACCAGGAGAACTGTCTCACGGAGCAGCACGCCAGCTGCATGTACACAACGGGCAAGTTTTTAAAACTTAGACGCTAGTTTTTTTTTTTTTTGTTAGTCTTGATGGAATTTTTAACTGGTATTGATTCCAACTGTACTGCTATCATCTGAAAGAGTTTTACCCTGGCAGGACGACCTCCAGGATGACTGGCATGTCCCACACTCCCCCTCCTCAGGTCGGTGGGCAGAATGCTCCAGGTTTCTCCGTCGAACCTGCGCACCACCACCTCCTTTTTTTTCTTTCGATGGTATGGCACACACACCTCCACAGCCTGTAGGGATTTTAATTTTGGAACACATTTACATCCCACACAAGCAGAAAATATCATTTCTAAAAAACAGGGATTAAAAGAGATTAAAGATTTAAACACAGAGCCAACAGCTTACAAACGCCCAGACAACAAGTTGTCACATCTTGTTTATTCTTAACATTGATTCAAGAGAGTGTGAGCCATGGACTGATGTAAATAAAAAAAAAGATATCACACTTTGAGGAACGAAACTCCATGAGGTCGAAGTTCAAGAGGACGACTCAGTAGGATCTCGTGCTCCTCCAACAACACCCACTTCCTGTCTGGTCTTTTTTCAATCCATTCCAGTCTCGTCGTCGTCGCCACACTCCCTGGGGGGAAGAGCAGCTCCGCCCCCCCAGGGAGAAACACATGACATCCAGCAGGCGAGACACAGAAACTAAAGAGCAAACAGACATATTCCTAGTCTAAGCATCGTCAATCATTAATTACTCAAATTACATCAAACAAATAAAAAAAATATTTTTTTTAGGGTGGGCATTGTACCTGTGCTGATTACAGGCCAGTTTTAATTTTTTTTAGGGTGGACATTGTACCTGTGCTGATTACAGGCCAGGTGTAACTCTGGAACTGTTACTGGTTGATCTGGTAGGAAAACAATAAACACAATGGGTCCAAATCTCATTATTGCTCCTCAGCCTTTTTCAGTAATTGGTTAATTAAAAAACTCCACTCACCAGGCGTAGGAGGCAGAGGTGGAGGGGTTGGAGGTTTTCCCAAAGGATTGTCACGGAGATCTATTTTCAGCAGAGGCAGATTGTTCAAACAGTCTGGGATTGTGCGTAGGTCGTTGCTGTAGACGGTAAGCTCCCTGAGTGAAAGGAGAGAGCCTGGGCAACAAAGATGGCAGCGTGGTTAGCATTTTTTAATGCTAAAATAAGCACATTTTAGTTCAGCAAAGCACTAACAAACAGCTGAATTTCACCAAAAAGAGTTTTAATTATGAAGATCAATAATATTTTCTGAGTGTAGACAGTTACCCCAGGGAGGAAGTGATGTAATGTGTTGTTATTTGTGTTGCTGAATTTCAAAAAATTCTCAACTTGGCCAGACGGTCTAAAACCCTGAGTAGAATTGGTCACATTTTGTAAACCCACCCATGGTCTCTGGGAGCTGCGTCAGCTTGTTGTAGGATACATCCAGTTCAACAAGCCCCTCCAGGGAACCAATCTCTTCAGGCAGTTGTTGGAGGAAATTATTTGAGACATTGAGAGTGCGTAGGGCTTTTAGCTGACCCAGACCAACAGGGAGAGAAACAAGCTGGTTACCCAGCACTGAGAGGTAGTTAAGAGACGTGAGCGAGTCAATGTCTGAAGGCAGGGCAGAGAGCTGGTTGTGACAGAGAAGCAAAGAGGTCAGTGAGGAAAGTTGGAGCAGACACGGTGGTAAACCAGACAACTGGTTAAAAGAGAGGTCCAGGTGAACCAGGTGAGAAAGGCAGGACAAAGTTGAAGGTAGATCGGTGAGGAGGCCGGGCAGAGGGTCTCCCCGTGAGTCATAGCAACAGTGACCTGCCATGAGGGGGAAAAAAAAGACTATTTAGGGCAATGGAGCAAAACAGTAATAGAGCACATTACATTACATCTTTGTGAATCAATTCAATGTCTGAAAAATCACATTATGCCATTGTGCATCTACAACAGATGATGCCAAGATAATAGACAAAAAAAAAGTTGGTAATATGAAACCATATTCAGTGGATATTTTTATTAGGGACAAGTAGAAGTATTATCAAAAGGCTAAAACAAGTTAATAAATTAGGCAATAATTTAATATCTTATTTTTGCCACACAATTCATTTATATCTATGCAATGTAATAATTTATATCTAGTGCAATATATGGAGTGTTATTTTATAATGGTGTATTCTATGAATGGCTTGTAACAACAACATTGAACTTTACTATACGATGAAGAAAGTGAAGTTATTGTACTTAATAAGTCATTACATTATAGCTGCTATATGTGTGTACTGAAAATATAAATTAAATGGAAAGTACCCCTGATAGTCAGCGAGCGCAGATTTGTTAGACTAGGTATGACATCCAGAGCACTGTCCAGTCCTGGTTTATCTTCAGAGCCCAACCTCAGGTACTGAAGACCACGCAGCTGACCTGGAATGGACATCCACAGCCTCGCCAGGACAGCTGCTCCTCCCTGGTAAACATCCAGGGTCAGTCTGGTGTCAGTCAACACAGCTGAGACATCCACATAGGGAGGCAGGGGTGGAGATAGAGACACGCTTGAAGAAGAGGAGGAAGAGGATGAAACTCCACTAAAGCAAAGTGTGGATGAAGCAGAAGAAAGGCTGGAAATTGAGCGACCACAGGTGTCAGTGAGACTGATGGGAGAGGACGAAGATGGAGGAGCTGAACTATAATCCGTCTCCAGATCCAGGAGCTCTCCTTGGCCTGCAGACTGCAAGTTACATCTTTCAGACCATCTCCTGAATTTCTCGTCATTCAGAAGACTAAGTCCACTCCTAAGCCTCGCAGCCAAAGTGTCAACACAAGTCTCTGGAAGTTGAGTTTGGGGTGTTGCCACCTCCTCATCCTCTGGCCTGTCTCTCTTATTGGCATAGTTGTCTGTCTGGTTGTCATCCTCTCCACTAGGAGATGTTCCTTTAGCCCAGCTTCTTTCCATAGATGCCACTGTTTTTGAGTTTTTCCAGTTTTTTTCTCATGGTGCGTCTGTAATAATAGTCATAACAATATACTTTCACTGTCATAACACTAGCTTACTAGAGCCAACTAACGACACAACCTGGCTTCAAACGTCAAAAAACACTTACATATCCGGCCTTGGTGATTTTAAAGCTGTTAAAATAAATTACAACACAAGTCCCATTGGTAAAGTGCTTGATCTGTCTTTTCTCTCTTTACTTCCTCGGTGAAGGACTGTTTTTCAAGAAAGATCCACGTCATAGTTGCTCGGTTGTTTTGTTCATAGCGACAACGAGTTTTAGGAGGGCGGAGTAGTATGCGTTTAGAAACTTGACAGGCCCCGCCTAGCCGGCTGCTGCTGTATTTAACAACAAGCGCCTCTTAGTTGACGCCGCCAAAATTTCAATTTAGGGCGGGACCATTGAAGATTGCTGCTGCCAGTTTCCAACCACTTGATGGTGGTGTTTTATCGCAATACTTTAATATAAAGGAAGATTTTTATGTAAAACTGATTTTGCATTAATTTCATTTAAAAAAAAAAAGTATTTGTGCTGTTCTACACTGCGACAATCTTTTTTTTTTTAATGTATTTGTGCTGTTCTACACTGCGATTTTTTAAATGTATTTGTGCTGTTCTACACTGCGACAAAACCAACTTTAATCCCGAGGGATTAATGACGTTCTATCTCCCCAAACAACAGGGCTATAATATAAAGGTAAAGTCGTTTTAAAGACATAGATGACATAATCTGTTCACATCTTTTGTTGACAATTATCTAACCTGTCCAGCAGCACAAGATGTTCAAAGATCTGCAAAAGAAGTCTTTCCAGGGCAGTAAAAAAATGCTAAAGAACACATTGAGCACATATGTCATGAAACAGAGAGAACATGACAGATTAGTGATAGATAAGTGACCCATTAGTGAACTAAAACTGATACAAGAGTACAAGAAGAAAACTTATCAGGGAGTATTCTAGGAAGTCTAGCACGTCCTCGAAGTAACAGCAACATACGTACATATATACATAGGTATGTTCAGCGTAAATGACAGTTACAATTCTAAAATTAAACATTACAGTGTTTTTGTGTATTTATTTGTTGTAAAACAGTATGTGGAATAGCATTGTCTATGTTGGTGGATGGATGGATGTCATCCGTCAGAGGCTAAAGATAAAACATTGCGAAACATTCTAGAAGAAAACAAGTCAAAATATGTGTATAATGACTCAAGAATAAACCAAGCCAAGATTATTTTAAAACACTTAACCCAGTTGGATACTGTACACTGATGATGCAAGTTTCCAAGTATGTTTGTAGTACATTCAGAAAAAGTTTTTATTTTCCTCACGGGATAATAAAGTACTTTTCTCTCTGTTCTTTTTAAAGTGGGTAACAACAGGCTTGTACAAATGTATTTTGCTCAGGTGACTATTTTACAGGATGTGGATGAGAATACAAAATAAATAGTTTGTGGAGTATTGTTATCAGAACTGAACATGACCTCAAGAACTTTAAACTTATTTACAAGGGTCCTCTACACTACATGGCACTATTTGTGGCCAATTCTAAGAGCATAATAGACAACAGTATTTACAAGGGTCCTCTATTTGTAGCCAATTCTAAGAGCATAATAGACAACAATTTAGAACACTCGTAAATAATGGATCTCATTAACAGAACCTGGACCAGGGCCAAAACAACGTCACAATTTGTGGTCTAATTCTGTGAACCGATGATTCATTTGAATCAAAACATGTTTTTGTAAAGGTTAAATGTTTTACACGTGGGTGATTCTCTCTTCAGCAGTTTTTCAAAGGTTCAGATTGCCTCACGGCATGACTTCACAAACAAGCGATAACAAGTGAAAGATGTGAACTGCATGAAAAGATAAAAGCAAGATTAGTTTAATTCTGATAAACCTCTAGAACAAAATCCTCGAGCCCGTCCCTCATAGAACATGAGGTCATTTTGAAAGTCTCAATTCAGCTTAGTTTGACTTTTTGAGGTCCAAACAGGGAGATAACCTGATGTGGGTCAGCTGAATCAGCTGCTTGCAAACAAGTATAGACTATTTGCATCCAGAAACTTTGCTGTTTTCATAGGAAATCAGTCAGGTCAGCTTGACTTATTTCTTTATTTGATTTATTCCTTCTTTCACTTCTCCATTCTTTCTTCCCATCCCTTTTTATACCTTTATTCCCTCCCTTTTCTTTGTTTGTTTCTACTTTCTTTGTTCCAATCGTCTCTTCTTTCATTTAACTGAATAAAAAGGACTGAAGTGGAACAGATAAACGAAGAGCTCTGTTCACAATTAAGCAAAAAAAAGAACCATGTTTGATAATACAAGACCTCCAGGCAATGAAAAATTAGAATAAAGTACGTCATCTGCTGTTAAAAAAAATTACAAGGAGAGACTAAGAAAAAGGGAAAAACAAATATAAATCCGATAAAATCCTAAAAGTGACCGGCGAAATTATATTTGTCAGAACTTGGTGAAGTCCTTTACAGTTAGGACTGTCTATGTTTAACATACACACAGCTGAAGTACCTTTGACTCTTTTGACGTATATATATATATATAGCAGCATTATGATGGCGTTATATATAGACGTAAGTAGTATGGTCGAAGGCAGTTTAAAATTTTGTTTCGAACAGAGAACCTTCCGCGTGTTAGGCGAATGTGATAACCACTGTTGCACCGAACCTTGACATATGGCGAGTCCTCCGTCCTGAATTCACCCGTGTTCCAGAGGTCCCTGTCCTGATTGGTTGTAGTTACTGTATTTCATTTTGATTGGCTACACAAATCATCGCTGTTCATTCTGATTGGTTTAGCCTGTGTCACCTGTACCCTTCTCTATATATACACGTCAGATTCCTATGTCCAACAACAATTTGGAACGGTACAATATGTTCTAGTGCTGCACTGTTTACATATACTTGTCTACCAGTTATCTTGAGCACTCGGTCTTCGGCCAGCGACAGTTATCTTGAGCACTCGGTCTTCGGCTGTTCGCCGCGCTGCTAAAAAATACAGGGACAGGAGTTTTGAATAGAGTTTACACGTGATAGGAAAGGACGTTACATAAAATGTCAGCTTTGAAACTTAGCTCTTAGTTCGGCTTTTGTTTTGTCATCGTGAATGTTACTGCCTCATTAGCATCATTTGCACCGTTTCTGCGGACTATCAGTGGCATGTTTCCGTTAGACTCGCCGTGGAACATCTCTTTTGCGGGATGTGGCTTCCTGGGAATCTACCACGTCGGTGTGGCCAGCTGTCTGTTGGAACAAGCCCCGTTTCTGGTTCACAACGCCCGACACATTTATGGAGCGTCCGCCGGAGCTCTCACCGCCACGGCTCTGGTCACTGGAGTTTCGCTAGGTTTGTGCCATGTATTGAAGGAAGTTGCCTGTGGGTGTAAATGTTAATTGGCAACAGTACTAGCATTAGTGGCTATATATTAGTAATAACAGTATTTTCACCCGTAATTTCCGAATGTATTTATATGTCTAAATGTTTTATGTCAATGTTTTTTAAAACATGACAAAGTTCAATACTTTTTTATTCTCCCTACAGGGGGAGCTATATACATAATACAATTAAAACGTTCTATTCTACAGTTATTTCTTAATCATTTTAAACAACACTTACTACTTTTATTTTTGCAAAATTCAAATGATATCTGGTTTTCTGAAGAGAAAACTATTTAGGCTCTTTTGTCTCTTGTCATCTTCTATTATTCTTTTTTTTATTAATTAGTAAATGATCATAATTGTTTGGTTGTTGGTTGTTATTCAGTAGACTGAGCTCTGAGGGAGTTTTTAGGTGTTGAACCTGTGACCCCTTTGTGATGTTTCAACAGGAGAGACTGGTACAGGTATCATTGATGTTGCTAAAGAAGCAAGAAAGCGATTCCTCGGCCCCATGCATCCATCCTTCAACCTGGTGAAGATTGAGCGCCACATGCTGCGTCGGACTCTGCCAGATGATTGTCACCAGAGAGCCAATGGACGTTTAGGAATCTCTCTGACCAGAGTGACAGATGGAGAAAATGTTCTGGTGTCTCATTTTAACAACAAGGAGGAGCTGGTGCAGGTCTGTCTATAATTTACATGTTGTAATAAACAGAATAATAAGCTTATTTTGGTCAATATTTATAAACGGAAGAATCCAGAAAGTTTGCTTTATTATTATAATATCACATTTTAATTATAAGCACCTTTCAGAACTTTTGAGCTTCATAGAACATAGCAGCTAGTAGTCCTGAGACCCATGTAAACAGGCGGGCAGGTGGTGTGGAGAGGAGAGTGGTGAAGGAAGGAACAGGGGAAGGTGCTTAAAGAAGGTCATATCAATATGGAGGAGCATTTCGATATAGATGGTTGCCAATTTCATGTCTTGTGTATTATACGGAATATATTTGTATATATTTTTTTTTTTCTAATTAGGCATGTGTCTGCAGTGCCTACATCCCAGTGTACTGTGGTATAATACCTCCTACCCTGCAAGGAGTGGTGAGTATGGCTTAACAGCTAAAAAGTCTGCAATGTTTTGACATTTGTATTGACATTGTTGACATTTAATAGTCATCCTGCATTTTTAAATCTGTTCTTAAAGGATCAGGGTGTTTGTTCCTAATAGCACCTGTGAAAAGGTCACTGTAAATGTCTAGAATACAAATCAGAAAAAATGTGACGTATGCGGGAATTTCTTCACTCATTTCAAATAGGTCAAATTTTCAACACTGCTGAGGCCACACACACACACACACAGTATGTTGTAATTGACGTCATCTGAATTGTCAGCCACTGCTAGTTGAATCAACTGCAAATATCTGTGCAAAGGTTGACTGTATTTATTACCAAGTGGGCCATTATCTGTCTTTATAGCTCAGTCACTTAACGTTTATTGTTGAAAATAAATTCGTCATCATTTAGAGAATGCTTTCACTTGCGTTCTCAGCCGAATCGATCAGGAGAAAAAAATTGTCACTTGTCGCAGTAAACTAAAATGAACACCGACGTAGTAGAGTCTATGTTTTGTTTTTTGTAAGACAGAAAAATGACAAAAAACAAACCCTTCTTCTTCTCTGGCTAGGGAACTGAAATTTGTCTTCTTTTCTGGACATGTTTCTAGAACAAAGGTTTTCTGGGCAATATTATTGGGCAACAGAAACATTTACCCCACCCCTGTGGGGCCTCTCTGATAGCTCATGTGGTCTTGTGTGTACTTAGCACCGACTGTTTATAGTGACAGGTCCACACTGGGCCACATTGGCCTCTTATTTTAGGGTTGTTCTGTGCTTTTGTGTCATCAGTGGCTTAAATTCACAGAAAGTGATGTCACCCTTCTTATATTGACACGGTGTTTGCTGCCGAGCCGTGGGTTAAAAGTTCAGGAGCTGCAATAAAAACAATCAGTGCGATGTGGGAGAGAACGACATGATGTCACAACAATACATAAGTCTAAAGAATTCTTTATTGACAAAGAGAGTGTGAAGTATATTTATTGATGTCCTGTTGTGACTACAATGTTACAGCTTCCCTTTAACTATCAGTTCCATTTTCTCAAGGCTTATTTTTATTCCTGATTTGTTATATTCCAGCATGATATATATATATATATCAGGTGCGATATTTTAATTTGATTAAATTGAAAAATTTGATTGATTGATCTAGGATTACTCAAGCTTTTTTATATTGTGTATTTTGATATTAAATTTAAATAATTATTTTTTAAAAACACCTGTTCCGGTCTCTCATCCTTTCTTGACACTATCATGTCCTCTTGGTTTTGGTTTTCTAAATCCCCCTACAGGAATGATTAAAGTTTTGAACATTTGAGTTTCCTTCATGTCATTAATAATGATAATAGTTGAAACATTCACTTTTTACTGTTCAGCTAAAGGCTACATATAAGTCACCTTGATGGCCAAGGGTACTTTCTTTTTCTCTTTAAGCGATACGTTGACGGAGGAATCTCAGACAACCTGCCTCAGTACGAGCTGAAGAACACCATCACCGTGTCTCCGTTCTGTGGAGAGAGCGACATCTGTCCCAGAGACTCCTCCACCAACATACATGAGCTCAGATTCACCAACACCAGCATCCAGTTCACTCTCACCAACCTGTACAGAGTCTCCAGAGCACTGTTCCCTCCAGACCCCATGGTAGGTCACTTGATTACGTCACACATAGTTAAGGACATGTTCCAACAAGAGTGGCCCACGTACATGATTAAAAGTTCTTGTTTTCTTTGAACGCAGGTAATGAATTTGATGTGTAAACAGGGGTACGAAGATGGCCTGTACTTCCTAAAGAAAAATGGTAAGAGTCTCAACGTCACTATCAGAACATGATAACTTATCACTTGTGTTTCCCGGGTCAACAGATCAGTAAATCAATAAAGATTAATCCTGTTTCACCCTGTTCTTACTTCAGTTTGGAGATTTGGGCTTTGACTCATTTTCATTATTGGATTTTTCTTCTAATTCAAAACTCAAAAGTTCTAACTGAATCACGCTTCTCTTTTCTATGGTATTTTAAAAAACTACTAAAGTAATGTACATTAACTAACAAAATAGAATATACTGTACAAATATGGAAAACTTCATTGTAACTAAGGACAGTAAAAACACAGCCCTGATTAAAGGCATAGTTCACAATGGCTAATCAATTCATTAGCATTAAAGCTAGCATTAAAAAAAACACACAAAAGTAAAATTAATAAAATACAATTAAAATAGTGCACAACATTTGGTGTATTTGCCTAAAATGTCTCCATTGTTTTTCTTTTTAATTATTGTTTACAACATATCAATAGTTAAATGAGTTTGTTTGTTTGTTGTCCAGAATATTAACCTACCAAATTTAATCAGTTTACTGCAGTAGAACTGGAGAACAATGACTGATATTGAATTTGTTATATTGATATTGAAACTGTTAGATACAGACATTTAGAAAATGTCATCAGTCCATTCCGATCCACAGCCACTGACCTCTAATTTAATGTTAGAGTAAATTTTTTTTCTTCTTTTTTTTCTCTTTTTTAAGGATTACTTCATTTTAATGGACCTCTCACTGACCGGCCGCTGCTTTGTCACGGAGAACAAGAGGAAGAGACGGTTGATGGTGGGGATCATTGTGAGGAGGAAACCATGAACAAGACGGAAAATACAACGACGGATCAGAATACTGCATCGCTGGAGGAACATTTATTTGAACACCTTTCACCAAACCTGCACAAAGGTTTAGTTCAGTTTATTTCTACTATACGTTTGCAGTAGGGGTTTAGAGCTGAGGTTAAAAAGCTTGTAGAGCAGTTAGTGGAGAAAACAGATGACAGAAAATTTATAGCATTTAAAACTTATAGTAAACTTATAATTCAATGTAGGTATGTAATTTTTAATGTTTTTTTTTTAACATAAACCAACCAACACAATCCCAACTTGGTTCATTATTACACCATACTTGAACACAGAAGTTGCCTCAGTCATAGTTTACTTCATTGATTGTACCATAGCAGCTGCTGTGAACTATTTCCTCTTTGCCCGTTGAAAAGTACCTTTCTGTGGTACCATAAAGAACACTCTGTAATGTACTCAAGAAACTCTGACCACTTTCCTGAGAAAATGAATTTGACATGTAGAGATATAATTAATCTGCTGTTGAGTTCAAGAATATTTTTTTTCTGGGTTGAACAGTCATTCGTTATGGTAACATCCTGTAAACTTCCTTTGTAGTTCTGCTCGAGGCCTGCATGGAGAGGAGGAGCCTGGTGCAGTCGCTTAGCAACCTGCTTCCAGTCAGGATGGCCTCGGTCCTGATGCTTCCGTACACTCTCCCTCTGGAATCTGCTGTGTCTATGGCTGTCAGGTAATGCCATTATTCCTTGGTAGAACAGTTTATATCAAGACAGGAGTGTCAAACATACGGCCCACGGGCCAAAATCGGCCTGCTTGGGGTTTCAATCCAGTCCACTCGATTAATTTAAAAAAATAAAAAATACACAAACACTTATGATATAGTATTATATTTTATTGCATTTTAGATTTTATTTTTTCAATACAGTGAATCAGACTAAATTCACTATTTGCAGACAACACATTTATGCGACATAAAATATCATCTGAGCTCCTGTGATGAAAGACAAACACCTTTGTCTGTCAATGTGTAGACTTCTGGAGTGGCTGCCAGATGTTCAGGAGGATGTCGGATGGATGCGAGATCAGATATTAAAGATCTTGCTCTATGGACTACGCCAGGCCTCCAGTAGAGTGTCTCAGCATGCATCGGTGGAGATGAAATGGTAGGAATCAATGTTTTCTGGATGTCTTCAGAGAGTACTGACACCAACTGTCGGTAGATGTGTTTGCAGATGATTGCCTCATGTTCACACCCAGGCACATGTATTCTTCCAAATTGTTTAGTATGGGGTTGTGGCTAATAATCAGTTTCCTAGAGAATTTTCTGTTTTCTAAATTTATTACAGTACAACACAGTACTAGTTTTATCATTATTTAGTTTGACTTGATCTTGTGCTTTGCTGTAAATGGGATCAACATTTTTGAAAAGTACCTTGTTTTATTGTACATATGTGATTAATACTATAATATATACAAACATTTATAAATATGAGTGATTAATAGACTTACCTTCACCAAGAGTTTCATTACAGGTTTATGTTAAAGGCTAAAAATAAAGGCTAAAAAACATGACCTTTGACCAGTTTAAAAACAATAATAATTGTTTGTTAGATTTATTGCTGAATGATGATTTGAATGATGATTTATTTCACCACTGCAGTGAAAGTGATGTGAAACTGAATTGTTTGTCATTGTGACACAGCACACCACTGCACACACAACGAAATGTGACCTCTACTTTTAACCCATCACCAAAGTGAACAGTGGGCAGCTTTAAGCAGTGTGTGGGGACAATACCATCCTCACAGCACCTCAGGTGGCAACTTGGCAGCTGGTGGACTCAAACCTGAAACCTTCCGGACCCAAGTCCACTTCCTTAAGCACTAAGCCACCACTTATATACACATTTTATTGTTTATGTTCTATAGATATATCCTAAACCAAACACTTAAAAAAACATAATTCTAATAGTGTTTCTGTAAGGTTTACCTAAACATTCACTATGTGCCGCTGCATTTAGGTTTTCCTGTAAAATGGAGCTGCGCTACAACCAGACTCTTCCATCAACCTTCAGTTCCACCAGCCTGTTTCCCTCCTGGGCGATAAAGAGAAGTTCCTCGGTCCAAGATATGTTCATGCGCCTCGACCAGTACAGGACACAGCTGCTGACTGGCAGAATATGTCTAAACATGGACCTTCAGAGCTACTGGAATAATGGAGCCATGTCGCAAAGTACAAGTGACCCCTCCATCATGTCTACAGAGGGTCTCACCATGCACACAGCTAGTTTTAGTGTCCAGTCTGCTGCGGACACCGAAGACACCATCAACTCCTGTTAAGAGTGTTTGAAACTCTAAATCTATCATTAGAAGTGGTACGCTGATCATTATTTTATATAGTATACTAAAATATGGTATTAATTTACCATAGGTAATTATGTATACTTTTATTTTTACTTTTTGAATGGTAATGAACCTTTGAGTAAGTATTTTTTTCTCTTAGAATGAGCTTATGAGCTCATGGACTCTTAAGTCGTGTACAAACATGAATTCCAGGTTTTGACGACAAAGGTCCACTTCATACAAAATACCAGCGTGAATGTTTTAGGAGGAATGTTGTCAGACCTGTAGTTAAACTGTTTCTGTTTCACTGTGGTGATGGACCTTAAAGGAAGAAACATTATGTAACAGAAGTATTCAATGCAAATGTCAATGCAATTCACAAAATCAACACTGTTTTTATGTTTAGATCGTGTTGAGACAACAAGCTATAAGCCACTCAAATACAATGTCACACAACTGGATTCCTTCATCGTAGAAACGTGTTTCTATCATCTCAATTTAATCTTTAAGTTACTGCGCTTTTAGTTTTGAAACAAAATGATGCTCTGTACATTTTACTGGATGAAAACAAAATCATAAACCAGAAATCTTGAAATGAATCTGTTTTAACTGCACCTTTTATTTGTATTTCAACTGTGAAGTTTTATCGTTTATCATGCACTTCTGCTACAGGAAACTTTTAATGATGAAGCTCTAACCTGTGCCTTTTACTTATGTAAAAATATTGCTTAATTAATAAAAATATTGTCAAATAAATCTCTGGAAATTTTTCAATGTATAATTGCTCAATAAATATGTGTCCACCTGCAGTTGGAGTTTTTTGTTTGGTTTTTTTACATGGAAATTAGGCCATATTATTTTCTTCACACAGGAAAACGGTGGCAAAATGTTCTCTCCATGCTAGTTAATCATAATATTAGCTATGCAAAATTTAATTTTTTTTCTGAGAACATTGTCCTTATACGTAAACGTGTACTTTAGAAAAATGTTATTGTATTGAAACATGGATGTCTCGTGACATCATTTTGAAACTCAGATTTCCGAGTAACCCCTGAAGGCATCGTGAGACTGCCACTAAGTCAGAAGTTGTCTCCGAAGTTTACCGCTCCAGTTTGTCTCCACCAGGGGGCGAAGGCCGGGGGTGGAGGCTCCATCCAAAGCACAGTCTCTGCCTCTCTTCGTAGTATGAGCTGAGTCTGTCCGGGACAGACCAGGGAAGATGGCGGCCACTGACCATTCCCGGTCCGAAGCTGCCAAACAGCGTCGGCAGGACCAGTTGCAGCGATGGATGGGCTCGGAGACGGATCGGACTGAATCGGAGGCCCGGGAATCTGCGGGCGGCTCCGTAACGAGGAAAACGAAAGTCCGTTTCGCTCAGGGAGCCGTGTTTATGGCCGCCTGCTCCGCCGGAGACCGGGAGGAGGTGGCGACACTGCTTCGGCAAGGAGCTGACATTAACCACGCCAACATTGACGGGCTGACAGCGCTGCACCAGGTAAGAAACTTTAAATTCAACCCTAAAGTTAAACAAGCAAATGTTAAACAAGCAAAGGATTAAACCGGGCCGCAGCTAAAGCGGCGGTGACGGTTTATCCAGTAAAGAAGAGTTCATGTGAACGTTCCCGCTGCTTCTAACGGAGCTGCTGCTGTGGATGAACTCACTGCAGGACACAGTAGTGGCCTGTGTGCTGGACACCCGCATAGAGATACAGGGTTAACCTTTACACACACACACAGTCTGATTGAAATTGACGGTCTTTTGTCTCAGAGACAGAAGGGAGGACTTTTCGACTTTAGTGACACATTCCTTACGAGGCTAGAAGTCTCGTAAAAATACTTTGTCACTAAACTCAGGATGCTATTTAGCTTTCTGCTGTTCACACTGATGAGAAACTACAAAAACAAAACACGTAGTCAGGAAGAACGTTTTAACCATCCAGTTTATTTAATTGCAGTTTATGCCCCAAATAGGCTACAGTCCAATGCGTGATCCAACCTTAATGCAGCTCCATCCTCCCCTCTCTCTCTCTCTCTCCCACCCCCTTCCTCCCTCCACTTCACTTAAAGTTATAACACAGTGGAGCAGTCTGGACAACATCACTGTCACACCGTGCTCTCGGCGAATGCACTATTTCCTGCGCTTTTTATGACACTGTATGTCATGGACACACTCTCACACTGTTGATACCTCAGTTGATACCTAAGTTCTACTTGTCCACATAAAAGACGTACTCATTTTCTAGCTCACTGGAGCTGAGTGCTGGTTGGACAGGCCCATGGGCCTCCAGATGATGTCATGCTCACAGATGATTGGGCTGTTCATCCTAATTTGAAGCTAATTCAGTGTGTTTGAGGAAGCTGTTTTCCCATGACGGGATCAGAGGAGCTAGTTCGTGTGTTCTTGCCAGGTTGTTCAAGTTAATGTGCCCTCTTCTGGTCCATCCACATGCCGGACCATCACCCAGTGTGGTCCTCCTCCTGCGCTCTCTCCCACCCTCCCCCATTGCTCATCGGTGACCTAGCAACCAGAATTAACCAGAATTAAAAATAGGCCTAAGCTCTTCAAACTTTCCACCCTCTGCATCCAAAGAAGCCCATTTATTTTCTCCGCAATTCTTTCAGTCTACTTGCTCCTCCTCCTACTCCTCTTCTTCCTCACTATCCTCTGTCTTCCCTCCATCTCTCCATCTCCTTCCTGCTGCCAATTCCCAATGGAGGGGACTTTAGGGATTTTCAGATGAAGAAATGGAAAAACGTTCCTCAAACAGCGCAAGCTGTTGTTGTCAAAGGCCATTTTTTACAATGAGTCACTTGATGACCCAGTGAAGGAGTCTACTAGGAGGCCGTATATGTGCCTGGTGCAACAACTACCCTCTGTTCATTCATTCATTGTGGTGCACCCCCCCCCCCCCCCCCCCCTTCCTTGGGGCCCCCCCCCCTCGGCGGTAAAAGCTGCAAGCTGCAAGTTGGTCTGGAGTGTACCCAGGGTCTCGGAGAGTCTCATCTTTGGGCTGACAGTGACCTTGTTGTTGCGACTGTACTCCTTGACTTATCATCTGGCATCGTGCAGAAGGGAGGAACTTGGCTGCAGCTTTGAGATTAGTCAATTTAGCCCAAAAGTAAAGCCTCTTAAGTGGCAGAAGCTCAGCTTTGCAGCCTGTAAATGTGGACACACTCTCTGCTCTGACATCCCGCAGTTACTACGGTAACCACTGGACATGCTGTCCTTGTAATTGCTGAATCATTTTGGTGTAGATATGAAACAAAAAGGAGAGAATGACATTACTAATATACCATTAGAGTTTTTAAACTATGTGAGCTGTTAATGTACAATTCTTCACAGATTATGCAGGGTGTTTTTTTTTTGTGTGAATATTTTGTGGTTTCTTGGCTTTTATGAAGCTCAAGGGAATATTTTTTGGGTTAGTGAAGTTAACATTTTGTGGTTTGGTAGAAGCCAATTAACATTTTTCACTCTGCCCTCTGCTGACGGCCTTTCAAGCCAATAACTAAATAATTGAGAAAATAGTTTTATTGTCTTCATGTTACATATCTTTTATTTTCCCAGGATAAAAGTTTTTTTCTTGACTTGAAATTTAAGTGTTAGGTGTATGGTGTCAACTATTTCTTCCCATCTAAGGTTGAAAGGTCTTGACCTTGCTATTTATGTTGTAATCGTGATTTTTAAAGGAGATTAATCTGCCGATTGGTCATTTGTTTGGTTTTGCTGCTGACATTTTATTTGATCCGAAATGAAGTTTTTCAGTTAACGTTCAGATGAGCAAAAATTGTCCCTAAAGTTATTATCGACTATGCAAACAAGTTGTTGACTGACGTGTTTATACAACTCTTTTGTGGTGAATCCAAACACCAAGGCAGTGCTCGGTGTGCCTGAGTCATGTGATGTTATTTAATCCCTGCTTTTTCTGCGTCTGTCTACTGTCAAAATGTCACTTCCTTCAATTCAGAGCCACAGGCTGATGGACATTTTCTCAAGTGTTTTCACTCTTGCACTCAAGGCTTTTCCTCGTGTTTTCCCACACTGAATCTCGACATGTACGAGACAGTACGAGAGAAATACACAACATCCAGCTCTCTGGAGTTGTTTTTGTAGAAAGTATTAGCATTTATAAAATGTATACGTCCTAAAATAGTACCTTGAGGTTTTTATGGGACTCGTCTCCGGTCTTGTTTTGAGTCACGCTGCGAGCTTAGCTTCAAATGCCTCGGGACACAGACCAAATAGATTGGTTATCCCCTCGCTCCACAAAATGACTGTTTTGGAGAAAAGTCAAAGGCTTTTTACAGCCAGAGAACAGACGGTCTCCACAACAAGTACAACCAGTTGACACTGTGTGTGTGTGTGTGACTGTGCTGTAACTACATTTAATACATTTAGGAGGCGGTTTTTGTGTGTGTTTAAAAAAGGAAACACCTCAAATGCCTTTCTTGTCCGGTGCTCTTCTTATGAATCAAGAAGGACGAGATGCTTGTCTCGCAGCCAGTGATCATGTGATTGTGTGTTTCCTCTGTCAGGCCTGCATTGATGAAAACGCTGAGATGGTCCAGTTTCTGGTGGAGAACGGGAGTGACGTCAACAGGGGCGACAACGAGGGCTGGACTCCTTTGCACGCTGCCGCGTCATGCGGATTCATCCAGATCACAAAGTAAGAACTAAACGTTGTTACTGTGACACAGGAATGTCAGTACCTTAAAATAAAATCACACAGAGACACACTGTCGGGCCTAATTTATCACCGGGTCCGAGGTGCACTGTAACTCTTTGGAAAGGTCACTTGTTCCGGGAGGTTTTACTGCTGTGATGTAACGTCTTTGTCTTGGATTTATTGCCGGTGCTGATGAAGGTTCCTGATCGAGCACGGCGCTCAAGTCGGAGCAGTGAACAGTGAAGGAGAACTTCCTCTGGACGTGGCCACCGAAGATGCCATGGAGAGACTGCTAAAGGCTGAAATCAAGAAACAAGGTGTGTGACACGTGCCACTCCCACAGGTGTGGAAAGAATTGACAGCTCTGTTGATACATGAATGAGAGCCAGATGGCTGGTGTAAAACTATTTATTGATATTAATTCTAGGGAGTAGTTTCAAAGGTAAAAGGTATTCGCCAGTGGAAAATAAACACAGAGGATTTAATGAATGTAATGAAACCAAATTACAGTTACAGACATGATTACTAATCACAGTGATTTAACACTAGTGCAAATGGTTTTTTTTTTTTTACTGTTTTTCTAACAACTTGAATCTGTGCTACAGGTATCGACCTGGACAAGGCCAGGAAGGAGGAGGAGAGGGTCATGCTCCAGGATGCCATGGAGGTTTTGGAAAAAGGTGGAACCCTCACCCCTCACCCAAACACCAAGGCTACCGCACTGCACGTGGCTGCTGCCAAAGGCTACATCGAAGTTCTGAAGTGAGCATCTGACCGCCACAGCAACGGCAGTCCGTGTTGAATTTTAGTTGAGTTTAAGTCAACAAAATACCAAAATGGTTACTTTTCCATATGGTCAAACCTCAGTGTTTTAATATTTTCTAATTTATTCAGTGAACTAAACAATGTTAATTGAGCATTAGCGAATACGAAAGAATACCTAACAATACTTATAAAAGATTTGATTTATTTATACATTACTTTATTATAATAAAAAATTAAATTATATTAATTATATATATATATATGTATTTATACATAAAATAATTAATAACATAATTAATTAGCGTCTACTTTGTACATTTAGTTTCAGTGACAATAGAAGTCAAATGGGCCCCTAAATCTGTCCTACCAGTCACATTTTATTAAAATTATTATCTAATATTATATATTATATAGTATTTATATTGTAATATTCCATGTATTGACACCGTCTCCTGTTTAATCTACCACCTGACATACATTCACTATGATTGGATCCCTATTGGATGGCCCACCTTCCAGCCAATAAGCATCAATTTTCCCTCCAGTTACATGACGAAATCGGCGCTGATTAGACTTTGTCCTCGTCATATTATCTTTTTCATCCGTATCAATAAATGGAGTTGTTTCCCCATAACTTTTTCCTACTTCGTTCTCGTTCAGTTCTCATCTTAGAAAAGAAGGTTGTCAACAAAATGACCATTTCAGTAACTCGAACCTTATCTTCCAAACCTCTGCAGGGTTTTATTACAGTGTGCTGTGGACGTGGACAGCCGGGACACGGACGGCTGGACGCCCCTGCATGCAGCAGCTCACTGGGGACAGGAGGAGGTGTGCAGCCTGCTCGCCGACAACATGTGCAACATGGGAGCCGTCAACAACGTGGTGAGCCGACGACCGTAACGTGGCGTTGAGTCTGGGGATTGAAACGTGTCCCCGATGCTTGGCTTTACAGCGCACTGTCAATGTCCTTGTAGGGCCAGACACCTCTGGATGTCGCAGACGAGAACCTGGTGGACACGCTTGAGGAGCTGCAGAAGAAACAGAACGCCGTGAGTGTTTCCTCACAGTGGCATCGCGGCGATCAGCGATTAGATAAACTTGATGTGACTGATGGTGGCACAGCGGCAAAATGTTCTCTGTGTTTATGGCTGTTTATATTCCTCTTCAGTTACGTAGCGAGAAAGAGAAACAGACACCTGTTATTGAGACCAGCCCGCCCATCTCCATGGTACCGGTGCGCACCCGCAGGTCAGTGCCAGTGTGTGTGTGTGTGTGTGCGCGCGTGTGTGTGTATTTGGGCACATGGCTGTTGTTGTCACTTTTTTCAGAAATGCTAGTTCCACCTGCATGTCTTTAGAGCCGTCCTTTAGAGAGTACTTCCTACCACTGACATGAACCTGGAGTGGAGCTGTCAGTGTGGCAGTGCTGTGAACTGATCTGCCGGTAGTTGAACACCTGTAGAGCAGTGACGTGTTTTGACAAAGTTATTGTGGGTCTAAAACGTTGTCACTTTGTTAAAAAAAAAAAAAAAAGTTGTTTTCGATGCAACGTCTAGCAGTCCTAACTTTCAGAGTTCAAACCATGGCTGCAAAATCTTCCTTAAACACTGAGAAACTGAGAGTAGACTAAAATTGACAGTAGGTCAGAAAGTCTTGAAAAAATAAAAATATGTATATGTATGTATAAAAACAATAACACAATAACAACTAGTATCTTGACATAAATTAAGTTTATTTCACCCGGTTGTTATAAATGTGTGTTTGCGCTTGTTTCAATTTTTTTAAATTATTTTTTTAAGGTTTAACAAATCTGATCAAATAAATCCAAGCTCAAAGACGAATAAAAATACAAGGATATCAATTTTTATTTTTAAGGTTAACAAATCTTAACAAATAAATCCAAACACAGCACAAAGACGAATAAAAATACAAGGATATCCCTTCAACCTGACGTCTAAATATGTGTCTAAACGTCTTTCACTTATTATAACTCGATACCTTTACCTTTTAAATTCGTTAACATCGAAATAATTTTACTGATTACATTGTGCTTGCTGTACATTTCCAGCTCATGTATTTTTGTTTTAAGACAACACTGTTTCTGTTCTGACAACTGTAGCTCTGGCTGCCTGTGCTCCTGGGTCAGCCTGGTTTATAGGAACATTTTGTAGCCTAGCTTTCATCACGACGTGATGATTCTCTAGTTTATTTCATTATCAGAGTAGGAATTGACATTTGTTTTCATGTTTTCAACTGATACAAGTTTTTGGATTCATGTGCTCACCATAACGCCTTAGGGCATTCACCAAATATTTTGTACTGTAACAGAACACATTTAACAGTAAGACTCTAATAAACTACCCAGACACTGAACTGCGGTGGAAAACCCACGTCACCGATACGCAGCTGTTTGTAGTGAAAACAGATTTTGAGAATGGATTTTTTTTTTTTTTTTGGATCAGCATCTGTTTTTAAGTATGTCGTTGCCTGGTTTGAATGGTTAGGTGTTAGATACTGATACTGATATAGGTGTCAGTATATCACTAATTCAGTCATTTTGCGTGGTCAGTAAAACCTGCGGGTTACAAGTATAGTGCCACCTGTTGGTTTGGTTGACTGAGCTCCTGTTCATGGACAGAAACATTGGACTTGAGGTGTTTTGTTTTTTGTCGTTGCCTGGAGTTAAGAGCTGACAGAGCATGTGTTGTTGACTTCATCACACTTCACTGGTGTGCTGATTGGCGCATGCTGCCGTTAATTGGCTGCACATGGAATGGTTGCCGCGCACTGATCAGCTCCCTGCATGCCACCTGCTCTTCCACCTCCACCTCCATGCAGGAGTTCTATCTCTCGTATGAGCAGCAAGGAGAAGATCTGCCTTCACGAGCGGGAGAAACACCCTCCCCCCGCCCTGCAGATCAGTCCAGCCGAGGATGAGGAGGAGGAAGGCCAGGCGGGACAGAACCAACCCCAGGGCCAGACCAAGGCGTCCAGCAGCTCCAGCTCAGAGGAGGAGAGCGAGTCTGAGAGTGATGCTGAGTCAGGTGAGAGGAGCGGCTGCGCTTTGAAATACGGAGTCGGTTAAAGTCAACCCAGTTCGATGACTTTCTTTTTTTTTTTAACTTCACTTATTCCTAAACGTTTGCAGAAAAAGCCAAAAACCGAGAAATCATAAACAATTTGAACAACAAACGCAACACCACTGGCCTGCTTCCTACCTCTATGTCAACAAGTACTGCTGCCAGCCAAGTGAAAAAGGTAACGAAAAAAAAAAAGAAAACACAAGAATAAGATACAACAACAATGTTTACCATATCTGTGCGACAACAACAAACAACAGATGTTGAACTTTCACCGTCTGTCCAGCAGGAACCAAGCAAACCTGCAGTTACTGAGGCTCCAGGCTCCTGGAGGACATCTCTGAGGAAGGCGGGCAGCTCTGTGACTCTGGGCTCAGTGGGTCTGTCCGACTCGAACCAGGACACGGCCAGAACTTCAGAGTCGGGTCTGGGCATGATACGCTCGGCATCCAGCCCACGTCTCAGCTCTGAGGCTGACACAAAGGTACAGTTCAGACCTGGTGTGGAGATTTGTAAACCAATGGTCTCAAACATGTGGTCTGGGGCCCGCCCCTGGTCCCTGATCTCCTCCCATCTGGCCCATCTGAGTTTGTGACCCCTGGTTTAAACCTGTGTGTGTTAGTAGGTGAACAAAGTAATGATACAAAGAGACAGTGGGAAGTTTTCCGGTCATCGAAGTGCTGCACTTTTGTCTTTGAGTTTGAGCTGCCTTTGTTTCTTTGACTGTAGTCTAAGGAACCACTGAAAATGACTACCAGACCTCTGCCTGTCTCACAAGTCTACGCTTGGATTTACCTTCATTTGTCTTAATCACATCAAAGCAGAGGATGATGCATTCAAGTATCAGATCAAAGAAGTCGCACTGACAGGATTAACCTCCGGTTTGATGGATCACTTCTGTGATAACGTCTGCAACCACAGCTCCTGTTTTTTTTTTTTTTCTTGGTCTGAATCGGTGGTTCCCAAAGTAAGGGGCGCAGATCTATGACAGGGCACCGCAAGGCAAACTGGGGGATTTTTTGTGATTTTTTTTGTGTTATGTTTAATGATAACTGACCAATGAACGGATGTCATTTTCTGTCAGGAACCAAGACTCGCTCGCGTTCCCCCTATTCCTACTCGGAGACTCTTCAGTATCCCGGACAGCAGCGCTGAAAACTCCAACAGGTGGGAGCTTCACTCTACTGTTCACATCTGCACTTGTAAAACCACACTCTGTTTTATGCTGCTTCTGTCACACTGTGTGTGTGTGTGTGTGTGTGTGTGTGTGTGTGTGTCTCAGCTGGCTCAGCCGTAGCTCCTCTTACTCTCGAAGGCTTCACAGTCAAACAGGAAACGATTTCACTAGTTCCTCCCCGTATTTGCTTCACAGGTCAGTCACACAGCCCACTGCTCGTCTCCCGGTTGTTTTCTCCTCTGTTTGCACATGTTTGTTTTTGCTGCGTCACAGTTTATTACATTCCCACAGCACTTGGATACCCACTTTGTGACCCCGCGTGTTCATGCGGTTCTTTTCTTTTTTTTTGTTTACATGCCTTTTGTTTTCACTGGGATTCTTGTCTTGTTTTTAGTTCATCGTATGGAAGGAGACTGGATGACCCGACCTTGACCTCGGCCGGCTCCACAGGACTCAGTCGTTTGAATAGCGTTTTGGGACAAAGGTTTATGATGTTTTATCTACGTACTGCATTTTAATAAATACTGTAGTGGTCTGAGATGTTCTTGTCTCTCTGGACATTTTCTTTTTTTTTTGACGTTTTCTTTGTCTAACAAGGCATTCTCAGGACCAGACAGAGAAAAAGGAGCAGCCTGTTTCCACCTACACCTCTCAGAACACCACAACAGGAGAACAGGAAACCAAACAGAGGCGCAAGTAAGACCTGACACATTTGGTGTATTTTTAGTTTTTAAAATCCCCCCCTGTATATAGGTCATCTAAATGTCAGGCCTTGAATACGTGACATACAAGGTTTAAAGGATACACACTAGTGTAAACTACTAAAGGTGCACTGCATGCGACTGAGGCAAAGTTAATCTGTTTGGAATTACTGGAAATGGAGCGTGAAGTAGCTGTGAATGGTGCCTGTCGTCTCTCGCTGCCGTGCTGAAGTGTAATTAAGGTGTATTTAACTACAACAGAGGTCTACAAACATTTCATCTGGTTTCAGGTAGAACATTTGAACAGCTATCAAAGTGTGGTGAGTCACCGCAAAATAAAACGATTAAGTAAGGGAAACAATACGTTTTTAAACAGTTGGTCTTTTACCGTTTTAAAAAGCTAGAAATATATCAAGTTTAATTAGCCAAAAAGTCGAGACGATGCCAGGTTAAGTCTCTTGAGGCTTTTGAGGACAGAAGACAGGGCGCCCTTTCTTTAAAATTCAATGTCTTTTATGCTGATAATATTAAAAAAAGAGAAAAAAAAAACATCTGGTACTGGTACACCAGTGTCCACCTGGTGGCGTCATCATGTTGATCTACAATGCATAACTATCATGACGATATGTCACAAAATCTACCACACATCACATATTTCAATAAATGAAATTTACTGATTTAAAGGAAGGATGCCAATGTTTCTCCTTGGAAATACTTCCAGAACTTTTTTTTTCTTTTTTTTTTTTATTTATTTATTTACAGTTGAAGTGGAGTAATTGGCAGTACTCGTCCAGGCTGTCGATCCAGTGTCAGCTGTGATTGGCTCTGCCTTCCCTGTGATCCAGAGCAGGATCACATTACATTGAAGTTACCTGCTTGAACAGAGTGACTGACTGACTGCTCTTCATCTCACCTTTGATTGCACTTGTCCAGGTCTTATCTGACACCAGTGCGAGATGAAGAGGCAGAGGCACAGAGGAAGGCTCGTTCCAGACACGCACGACAATCCCGCCGCTCCACTCAGGTAAAAAACAAAAAAATCATCACCTCCCAACTATGAAACCAGCTCAACTGTGTACCAGCACTGACTCTAAACCACACACCTCGTCCTGATGCGAAGGGAGTCACGCTGACAGACCTGCAAGAGGCAGAGAAGACGATAAAAACCATGAAGACAGAAAACAAGGGAAAAGAGAAAGAGGAGGAGGAGGAGAAAGAGAAGGACTCCAAAGTGAAGAAAGAGAGAGGAGAGGAGGGGGTGAGAGTTATATTTAGAGTCCCCACGTTTGGCAGTGCTTATCTAACGTCTCATGACATCACAAAGCAGAGGACGCTGTGTTTACAGGAAGTGAGTTGGAGATCTCGCATCGCCAGTCTGCAGAAATCTGACCTGCTGGGACTCACGCAGCCTGCTGGTACTCCACGGCCTCAGACCTCTGAACACCGAGGTGTGTTTGTGCGCACCAGCACTTTTATGATCTTTATCTTTTTCTAATACAACGCTGAACTGGTGGGAAGGAAAAATGTATTTGCTGTTAAAGAGTTTTTTTTGTTGTTTTTTTTCCTCCCAGATGTTGAGGTGGAGAGTGAAGCGATGCGCTGGAGCAGGGAGCGTAGGGAGAAGAGACAAGCTCGGGCCAGAAGGAAGGCACAGAGGAGTGGAGAGGCACGATGGCACACTGGCCGACACAATCGTGACTGATTATGATTAAAAACAGGTGTTTATATTTCTATCTCTCTAACTCTAAATATTTACCGCGGACAGAGTGACGACAATGAACCCAGTGGAGAAGAAGAATTCTCAGGCAGTGGGCTGGATCCACAAGTGAGTGTGACATTAATACTAGACAATGTAAAACCTCTAAAGTCAATGAATGATCCAGTGTAAGAATATTATTATTACCTTCAAGTCACCAGTCATGTTTGGTTTTTTTTTTTCCTTGTGCGGTTGTTGTTTCTTCTCTTTACAGACAGAACACCATTTGACTTCCAGGTATGAACCTCAGCCCTTAGAACTGCTTAACTCTCTTCATTCAGTCTGTGTGATATAGCAGTGTCTCTGACCTCACTGTCATTACACACACAGGTCAGGTTTGTCCTGCAATGACTGTGGCCTAGGACGTGAATCTGAGAGCAAAGACTTTAAAAAGGTATGAAGAGAGAGAGAGAGTTTCTCCTCCTGCTGCGGCAGCAGCTGTAATCAGTTCCCTCTTCAGCCTCAGTTATTCACCGTGATTCTCTGTGTCAGCTGTTCGAGGAGGTGACCAGAGAAAACAGCCAGCTCCAGACTCAGCTGCAGGACACCCAGAGGATCATCGGTCAGACCAGGTTGGACCTGGAAAAGGCCACACAGGTGACACAACAGCACCACATGAGTTGACCTTAGACAAGGGCTGTTTTCAAAGTAAAAAAATGTTGATTAAAAATGGTTAAATAAGTTAATTATAACCCTGATGGTGGAAAAAAATGGCTTTGATTTTACAGTATGTGTTTTATGATATCCATGAAGTGTTCTTACTGTATACCTATTTTGTTAAGTCATTGCAAACACATGAAGTATTCTTACTACCTATTATTAATACCTATTTTGTTAAGTCATTGCAAACGAAATCTTTTAATGCTTCACTACAATTTTGTGCATTACAGTATGATTAACTTAAAATGTAGTAGTAATGTTGATCATGGTGACTCGGTGCCTCCTGCGTTACTCTATTGATCAAACCTCTAATGTCGGTGTGTTCCCTCCCACAGAGACAGGAGCGTTTCAGTGACTGCTCTGCTCTGCTGGAGCTGGAGAGGAAGGTAAACGACGCTACACGTTCTTGCCGCGGCTTCAGCTGTTTCACTGTGGTGTGCTCGAGCTCTTCGCTCAGGACAAAACGTTCTGCTTTCCAATCAAATAACTCTTGGTCTCTCCACTTGTTTGACGTCAGGATCGGAGGATGCTGGAGCGGCGAATGGCAGAGCTGGAGGAGGAACTGAAGGTGAGAAGATGCAATTAAAAAAAAAAAAAGAAATATATATATAGAGAGAGAGAGACAGAGAACGATGAACCAGAGTGAAGCAGAGGTCGACCACTCACATGACCTCTGACATCACTACGGTTACCAACAGTAACAGTACCAACAGTTTCAAGTTGAACTGCTTGATATGTCATTGGTGGTGGTTCTCAAACTATGGTACACGTAACACTTATAGTACTTGGCCGCCCCTGTTGGTACATAGGGATTTTATTTCAGTTGTCTTCATTGGGGGGCGGTGGGGTCCAGTTATGTATATTGCTGTTTTGTACAGTAATCTAAGGATTGTCATTGCGACACAGCACACACTGAAATGTGACCTCTGCATTTTACCCATCACCAAAGTGAGTCTATAAGAAGAAGAAAAAACCATCTAAAATTCTTAAGTAAAAATGTGTTGTTTTTTGTTTGATTTTTTTTTTTTTTTTTTTTTTTCTGCATTGTCAACTTTTCCCCACCAGGTTCTGGTTGACCTGAGAGCAGACAACCAGCGTCTGAAGGATGAAAATGGAGCACTGATCCGTGTCATCAGCAAACTCTCCAAATAGATCTGGAGAGAGAGAGAGAGACTGACAGAGAGAGTGCCACGAAGAGCAGGGAACCCCTCTCCCCTTTCTCCCCCCATCCCTCCTTTTACACATTCTTCCCAGTGCCAAAGAATTAAAGAGGAGAGCGGAGCATCAGAATGTGCGTCGTTCACGCGCCCACATTTCACTCGGACTGTGATGCCTCTCAGTCAACAGCTGCTGGGGCCTTTGTGTGCCTTAGTGCGCTTTCCTCACAGGTAAAAAAAAAACAGACACAAATGTCTGCAGTGCCCATGGTCAGAGGCTCTGGCGGTAGAACCAGAATAATCCCAAACTCTTACATATTGGAGAACATACACATTGAATAACACACGCACCCACATTCCTGTGTCCATCACATACTTCCTCTATGCACATTCCACTGAGCGCACAAGGCAGTTTGGCCCTTAAAAATGTGCCACTTGTTTGTTCCTTTATTATAATAATGTTATAGATCCACACGAGTGTCACTGTTTTGTTCCACACACACACACACACACACAGTCCAAAAACAAAGGTGTCTACCAGTGAGAGTGACGTTGGGAATTGTTCATCAAGCCAGACCAAACTGAACTCAATATTCTTTTTTTTTTTTTCATTTTCTTTTCCACACAAGTGTTTTGACCCAACTACCTCTCCACCTCTGCACACCCCCCCAAAGTTCTTTTCTTTTTTTTTCTTCTTATAAGCGTTTGTGACCACAGACACACACCAGTCTCTCAGGTCGTTGGACCTCAGCACTTTACTCTCAGCAAAGCCGTAACAGTCTTCGTCCCTCCTTCCACACGGACGACCTCGGAGCAGCACCTTCTCACTCCATAGGTGGAGGAATTTAAAGTCGTTGCGCAATAAACTAAGGGTGGCTGCTCTGTTTAGATCTATCATGCAATTAATGATTTTTTTTTTTTCCAGATGTCATCGATGAGATATTTTCATTGTCATTTCCATTTGCTATGAAGCACAAATGTATTTTACATGTGTAAAAAAACAAAATGGTTTTGAAGAATAGCCCTTTGAAATAAACTGCCATGTAGCCTTTTTCACATGATGGGTTTCTAATATATTCCATGGATGCCTTCACCCCAATAAAAGAAGTGTTTGTAGTGACTGCCTGGTTACTGAGGGGATTTTACCCTCTTCAGATTATTCACTGAGATATGAGCTCTTGTAAAACATCAAATTAATGTCATAGCCATCCTCGCCGCCGAGTTTTGAATAGATTCCTGGTGTCTTAGTAATCTGCTGCGACTAATGAAGTCATCAGACTTTTTTTTTTTTCCCCCTCCACTTGTGCGATCTGCAGTAACTGTGTCGGTGTGTGCAGCACTGCCTCCGCCACACACAGTTGTGTTGTCCCTGTGTACGACGACATCAGTTGCTCTGTTCTCTGGCAGCCAGATGTTCTACATCACAGCAAAGTTGGAACAGAACAGCTGCAGGTCGGCCGTGCTCCCACGGAGGAAATGGAGCAGCGCCAACATATTTACAGTATGTTTGGACTGCAACATTAATCTGCTGCCGTTCCCAGGTGCACTCTTCATCACCAGCACTTTGACTGATATATTTGTCGTGACTTATGCTGAACCAGTGATCAGTGGGCGTCTGCCAGAAGGCATTCTTTGAGCTTCTGCCTGTTTGAACCTCACAGTAGGCTTCCATCTGTTTGTCTCATCTGAGAGCACAGAGATGGACCACTGTCCTGCAGGGGAGACGTACTGACAACAGACTGAGCTCCTAATAAGGAAGGCCAGGCTGGTCGAGACACACGCACTCTCTCTTTCTCTCCCTCTCTCTCTGTAAATATCCCTCAGGTCTGAGAAAGACAGGAAGGGATCTGGGGAGGAAGAGGGAAGCGGATGAATGCAGCCTTACATGGACACAGCACTGCTTTTTCCCAAGGTTCGTGGCTCTGACCCCGTAGCTCGATGCCAGATGCTACACAAACAGCGCCTTAGCACCACCAAGAGGCGAAACAGGACTACTGCCAGAGTAGAAATGTTTAACATTTTCATGCCAATATTTTTACTGTAAGAATCAGGATGTGGAATATCCTCACACAGTGAGCAGGACCGCTTGACCTCCAAAGTACACATCATCATTTAACGCATTGCATTGTGGTTATTAATTTGCACTTCCATAACACAAGTAAAGTGGCTTCTAAAAATGTTCGAGCGTCAGTGCAAAAACGTTCCAGTCAATGTGCCAAGAGAACAGAGATTACACTATTGTTCAGCTAATGTTTCTTCTCTCTTGTTTCTCCTACTATTGTTACATGTCTGAACTGGTGACTAAAGTAGAGAAGATGTGATTTAGTGGAAAGCGAGTGACGTTATAATACTTGGAAAGTTGAAGTGAATGTGTAAACACTGTCACTCCGACCTGTAAAGTATTTTCACAGTCTCGGCCAAGAGTTACAGGCATTCTAAATGTAGTCTGTAAACATGTTGACAGCTACACAGCCGGTGTAATAAGATACTGTTCAAACAATAACAAGAATATTGGTTTTACTTGATGAACTATCAACACTAGATTCTTATAGTCTAGGTTTTGTTTGGTCAGTTTCTAACGCTGACAGAATTTGTAAATTTTTTTAAAGGAAAAGAAATTGATGGCCAATTACAGAAATATTTTGCTTTGCAAAGTTGCTAAGTTCACGTTATTGGTGGGGTGAGTAATAACAGAACCACTGAGATATCAAAGTTACTGGAGATGTGGGATTTGTGTCAGGTTCTCTTCAGGTATGTTTTTAAAAATGTCTCTTTTTTTATTTACACATTTTGAACTCTCAAAACCCAATGCAGTTTATACGTTATAAATAAATAGAAATAATACATGTATATTTTTCTTTGCTATTTACTGTCTCTGATTTGTTTTAAAGTAATGCTGTACAAAAGATAAGGAAGGAAGGAACCTGCACGTGCCTTTGTTTTGAAAAATTACTGTACTTTAGCGCAATTTAGTAATTTGCTTTTGTACATGTGCACCTCATTGTAGCTTAGTTTCAAGCTAGCATTTTTTTTTTCTGTTTTCTGTCACACGCTTAGATTTATAGGCATAAAAATGACGTAACAGCACAACTCATTCGTGGTAACGGGTTTTGAACATGTGTAGCTTAGCGACACCTGTAGGCCAGGAAAGCAATCTACATGGTCAATGTTGACAAACTACCGCTGGAATGTAAGTGCACATTAGCCCTTTTACGTGTCAGAACAATAACCGCTGTGTCAAAGATTCACACACTGCAGAGCTAACGTTGCACGGCTACTTCACAAATTCTGACAAAATATAAGCATATAAGTAAATATAAGTCGTAGAAAGTAATAAGCTTCAAGTTTTTATTGACGTCTACTGGGAAAGACTTTAAATTCCATTTTAGAAATGATACAATTTTCTGTGACGTTTTGTGAGGTGTTAATCCTTGACTCATCCAGTGAGCTTTTTTGTATGGCTTCCATTTTTAATTGAGTTTAATAAAAGTTAGTGCTGAAATAGCTTAGGGTTAGCCGAACGGTAACGTATTAATTTTAGTGTTTTAAGTAAAAGTGCTGAAATATCAAAGACAATTAAAAACAAAACAACGCAGTTCCTCCAAAAAAAAAAAAAAAAAACCCACATTCACAAAGATTTACTCCAGGCCATGATTTACAGCAGACCCCAACTCCGCTTCAGGTTTTCTGAGCGTCTCAAAACTTTTGGACCTCCCTCTAGACCTCAACTACACTACAGTACAGACCCACTACTTTGTTCACTACTTTAACTGGATATCAGCTGTACCGAATAAGAGGCATCTTTTGAGACTTCCTGCATTTCTTTGTTTTTCACTTTTGGGTTTTCAGCTTTTCTCAGTGTCGCAGACAGTGGTGCTTCTTCCTGCTCATGTGAGAGTGAATCATTCCCAGTCTACAGTGTTTTACAATTTTTTTTTTTTTTCAGGATTGCTATGAAAGTCTGCACCAGTCTGACTGTGGTAGATGATTATTTAGATCAGTGGCATCAGGAAGGAAAACTTTGAATTATTTTGTCAGTGCTTGTTTTCATGTTTTGTGATACTCTGTTAAAGGGATAGTTCTGTTTCCCTGCATCAGAGTTTTGTTTGCCTGGTATGGCGTTTGGACATGTGACACAGAAGTGTCCAGCTGCACAAACTGTAAACGTGAGCCTAAGTCTAAGTGTGCAGTTTCACAGTAAAATAAATGAAGTACAGGTAAAAGAGTATAATCACAGAAATAGAAAACTGCAGTAATAATCTGACTGTTGTTGTTTGCCTTCCACAGTGAGTACTGTATAATCATTGCACACCTTGGACCCTCCTCACCATGTCCTGTGACTCGGACCTTTACATCTTCTCCACTGACACTCTCCCCAATGACCTGAGATTCCTCCCTCCTCTGGCCAACGGCCTGCTGGGCTGGAGGGTCTACAATGACATCATGCACATGGGTGGCGTGTACAACGGGGAGGGAGGGCGTTGTCACCGCGCAGATGTCCCCTGTCCTATGGCCGTTAAGGTGGAGATGGAGGGACCGGCGGATCATACCTACAGCCTGAACACACAGACAGGTGAGAGCGTTGTTTCTTCTCACGCCGTCCGACTGTGTGACAGCATCGGTGCTGACCGTCGCATCGTCTCCCTCAGGCATTTTCAGCCACACTCTGAGCTCCGACAAAGTGACTGTCACGCAGTTTCTCTACTCCCATCGATACCACGCCAACCTGATGGTGATGGAGATCTTAATGGTGAGGCCGCAGGCGTCCACGGAGCCTGTCACTGTAAAACTGGTCAGTTCATTCACACCTCAGAGCCAGGATATTGCATTTGAGTATGGCCCTGATTACAAAGAAGGAAGGTATGACTGATTAGTTTAACCTGCTATTGGAGAAGTATAAGAGTGTTTTATTGAAATTTCCCTCTCCCCCAGGCACATCCAAGGTCAGACTTCCACCGCCGAGTTCCCTGGTGGACCCTGTCCCTCTGTGCATCTTCTTTGGATGTCCATACCTGAGACTCTGACCCTGCTTGCAGAGCAGAGCCAGGCTCGCTGGGGATTCGCTCTGGTTGCAGACAACAATTTTGACTCTGCAAAGGCCAACTTTGACCAGGCTCTGGATCTGATGGCCACGGGGAACCTGCGCTTGGCTCACGAGAAGGCCTGGAAAGAACTGTGGCTCCAGAGCAAAATTGAAGTGACAGGTCCAGAGAACCTGAGCAGGGCTGTGATTGGCTGTATGTTCTACTTGCTCAGTGCTTTCCCCTTCATACATGACACATCCAGCTCTTTTGGTGGAGTGAGTCCAGGTGGACTCTCTAATGGGGGAGATGGTCAGGACTACTGGGGCCATGTTTTCTGGGACCAGGTAGGGTTGGTGGTTGTGTTATCTCTACATGCATGCTATCTTTGTAACGTCACAATCGCTCTCTTTTCCCTAACAGGACATCTGGATGTATCCTGGGATCGCTCTGTTCTACCCAAGTTTAGCCCGCGCTGTGCTGGAGTACAGGGTAGGGACAATAGATGGCGCAAAAGATAATGCTCAAAAGCAGGGATTCAAGGTATGATGTTCTGGACTCCTGGTTTCCAGTCATGTTATTGTACACACAACTTTAGTCATGTTGTTGTTGAATGAAATGAATGTATGTGTCACAGACATAACAGTAGAAAGAAACCAAACAACAAGTCTAATCATTAAAAACCCATTCAGGTGTTGCCTGGAATGTTTGCTAAACATCACAGAAAGTGAATGTGTTGTCCTAGATTTTCATAATTACACTGAAAGTCTATCTTCATCTTCACAGGGACTGAAGTTCCCATGGGAGAGTGCCGTTTCTGGGAGGGAGGTGTGTCCAGAGGACATTTATGGAAAACAAGAGATTCACATCAATGGAGACGTCGCTCTGGCTTTTCAGCATTATCTGTACCTCACTGAGGTCTTTACTCCTTTCTGTCCAATCATGTGTGCGTGTGTGTGTGTGTGAGTGTGTTAACTGTGCCTTTTGTTGCAGGACCTGTCCATGTTTAGAGACGGCCACGGCAGCGAGGTGATCTACGGTGTGGCAGATTACTGGGTCTCTAGAGTAACATGGGACCCTGCCGGCCAGAAATATCACCTCCTGGGTAACGTGCATTATGGATAAAGTATAAAATGGACACGTTAAATTTAGTTGGATATTCTGTTGTTTCAACCCTCTTTTTTTTGCTTTTCAGGTGTAATGCCACCTGATGAATATTATTACAACGTCAATGACTCTGTTTACACCAACATCGTGGCCAAATTCAGGTACTAACATTTCCCTGTTTCCCTACTCTGTGTTTAAACTCACACTCACAGCTTTTTTTTTTTTTTGCTAACATTTGTTAGTTTTATTCCTTTTTTTTACTTTGTCTTTTTGTGTGCAAATAGTTTGTCGTGGCTTGTTTTCCACTCTTACATAGTTCCACTGAGAAAAAAAAAAATAGTAATCAGTGGTTCATGACTGATTGCCCACCATAAACTCTGTCAAGATTACATTTAAAACGTTAACATATCGACATTTATTTTAATCATTAATAATTTATACATTAAGTCTCCATTCGTCAGTCTTCAGTTCGCTGCAGACCTGGCTGATCTCCTTCAACACCCTGCACCAAAGGAGTGGAAGGATGTGGCTGAACACCTCATGATACCATTCGACCAGGAGTCCCAGTACCATCCTGAGTTTGATGGTTATATTAAAGGTCAGAAAACGTTTTTTTTTGCTGTTGTTTACTGCACCGATCAACCCATGAAAAATAAAGTACCCCCGTCACCATGTCAGACTGTTGGTTGACTTCCTGCAGGTCAGCCGGTGAAACAGGCCGACACAGTGATGTTGGGCTATCCTCTGGGCTTACAGATGTCTCCACAGATCAGAAGGAATGATCTTGAGGCGTATGAGTCAGTGACAGACCCGCATGGTCCAGCAATGGCCTGGGTAAGACTCAGCTTGTTGTTGAGGATCGCACGTCAACATGGCCTCCCAGTGGCAGGATGTTTTTAAACGAAACACTTTTATCCTGAGCCTGGAATGCCACAATCTTCACATCCAAGCTCAGACTGCGGGTTTATCGCCCACTGATGTGAATGAGAATCGTTGTTTGTCTTCATTTGATGGAGTGATAACAGGGTTTACCAAGGAAGAGACAAGTTCACGTGAACTTTTTAACCACTTTACCCGCTCACCCCGTCACTGAACTGTCACTTAACTGATAGTATATGTTGTTGTTTACAGGATCAACAGTACATAAGCAAATTATTTTGACAATACAAAAGACTTCCATATCAGAATAGGAGAGTCGTGGATTCTTAAACAACATGACTCTAACACTATAAGTTCCTACCTGTTGACATGTTAGAGTATGGAGGAAGAAAGCTAGATCTTGGAGGGATAACCCACTGGCAGATAGGAGTGGTGTGCAAACACAAAAACAACACCAAGACTCTAGATTCTACTTCACCGATTTAACTACATTAAAAAATCAAATGTGAAAATGGAGTGATTGTTATACATGCAACATGATTTGTTTTTATATATAAAGTGGTGTAAGTCATTTTCTAGCTTTAAACAAATAGATCGTATAGGTGTTTGTTCGCACCAATGCTTGAATATTTTTCCACTCAGGGCATGTTTGCAATCGGTTGGATGGAGCTGGGGGAGGCAGAAAGAGCTCAACATTTACTGGAGAAGTGCTTCAACAACATCCAAGGCCCATTTCAGGTCTGCCTGTTATTCTCACAGCAGTGGTATAAGAATGATCTTCACTGAACAGTCAAAGTCTATCATTACCTCTCCTAATAGGTGTGGAGTGAATCATCAGATGGTTCTGGTGCAGTCAACTTTCTCACAGGTATGGGAGGATTCCTGCAGGCTGTGCTGTTTGGTTACACAGGCTTCAGGTCAGTTATCAATCCTCCCACCACCAATCATTTGGACACAGAACATAAGAAGTAAAACACCACACCTTTGACAGTTTTCTTTCTTCTGTTTTTCTTTTGTTGTAGAGTTCAAAAAGAATGCCTGGCCTTTTCCCCAGTTCTTCCTGCCAACATATCTGAGCTCTGCGTCCGTGGCGTGAACTACCTAGGTAGTCAGATGGACTGGCTGCTGAGGAAAGATGATGTTTGTATCATACTGAGAGAGACGAAAACCAGTGATGCCACTCCTAAGCCTTGTGATCTACAGGTTGTCCTGACAGAATCAGGAACAAAGATTCCTCTCACACCAGGTGAACAAGGAACATGCACACATGGGACATCAAGATCAGGAATATAATATTACAATTTAAATGTCCTGCATTTTTATTGTTAAAAAAAACAAAACCTCTCTCCTTGAGGCGTTGCCCTAACAGTAGTAGGAATTGTTATTCATATGTCTGGGCCACTCCTTAGGGAAATAGGTCAACATTAGAAAAAAATAAGCATTTATCACCACATTCGTTTAGATCACAATGTAAGTTTGCTTACAAAAAGGCTGGATCTGCTAATATTTATTTTATTTTTATTTTTTTCAGCACAACCAGTTACTTTTCCTCGGGGACCTGGACGTGTCTGTAAAGCGGAATACTCTCCTTATTGCTGCCTTTTGTAAAACCATAAGCCCGTCCCACTTCTCCATTCCTGTTTTGGTACATTATGCATTTTTGTGCAATTTTTTATATCAGTTGTTGCACCTTTGTTGTATGCCAGGCTGTTGTTCCATTCACTTCAATAAATAAACAAAGACAACATGAATACCAAGACCTTTTGTATTAGTCTTTTATATTTAAATCACACTAGTGGATACACTGGACAAAGGATGTCAGTGAAGGATTTATCCTTTAGCGGACGGATTGCGAGATAAAGAGTTTTTTTAAACAACATGTCACGTTTATTTCTTTCCTCTCGTGTTCATCTGTTGTGGGCGGGGCAGAGGAAGTCCAGAGACAAGTCGAATGGTTGGTTTAAATCTAGGAAACGGATTAACACCGCCCACAATTTATGAGGGGTTTGCACTATTAGTTATTCCATTTCGAACGCTTTACGCCCTGTGTGTAGTACAACAGTGGAGGCCACCCCTTCAGTCAATGCTAACTCACAAATCGAGCGTACCCTCTGCTGAGCGCGAACTGTGATTGGCTGCTTAGGTTTTGAACCAGTTAAACGGTTTCAGCGGGTAAGTGGAAGTAAACTGCTGCAGCTGTAACGTCCGGGACAAGATTGAGTAGAGGCTATAAACGTTATAAACGTGGCGTTATTTTTCATACGCTGTGAAGATATTTGTGTCTCAGCATGCGATAAAGACCTTTTTTTGAAGACTGGGATAAACAGCGACATTTTCATTTCTTCATTAACGCGGATTTAACAGGTTAGTGGTCAGTGGACTGACCGTCATCGTAACATCAACATTACATTATAGGCATATCTTGAGTTTTGCCAGTTTTGCTAACATAGTAGGCCAGCCATTACTGTTAAACGGATTTTTATTCCATAAAAAATGCGCTTCTATCGACGCCGACATGTATATTTCAAAGGGTTAGCTAGCCATGCTTTAACATTTCTGTGGACCGTCAATATGACGGTTTTGATGATTTTATTTTAGTTCTATCGGTTTTTACTTTATCAATGATTTCCGACGATAATAATAAGTTTGAGACGGATCTATTATGGTTGACATTTGTTTCCAAAATAAACCACGCCAGCCCATCTTTGTTAATATTGTACGGTACTGCGCATGCGTCCAGCTTTTTAAAAAAAGGATTTGGTAAAATAGTTTTCTGATGCATATACTATGTATAAAGGCCGCTTCTGAATTTTATTTTATTTTCTTATTATGTGCATTTTACAAGATCCGCGATATAATATAGTAGTATTTTGTGATAATCCAGTAGACAAAGTTTAAGTATATTGTGATAATCCAGTAGACAAAGTTTAAAAGAGGCTGCTACAAACAACAAAAAGGACATTTGGAGGTCGTCAGTGAGCAGAATTAATAGTGATTATATTGTAAAAAGCCCCTTGTAATCTTGTCTACTTAACAACTTTAAGTTTTTATTGTAATAACTCTAAGTGTTGAGTATATAAAATCAAGAAATACACAACAATTACAGTTCAGTTACTCTTTACAGTGGCACAGGTCTAATAAATTCGATTTATTAACACAAAATAACACTGTTTGTTTTAACTATGTCAATTATAATTTCAAATTACACAATATTTCAGATGTTTTGGTTTCTCCTGGCTACCAGGATCTGATCTGATCTTATCAATTGACTCTGTCTATGTGTCTATGTTTGAAGGAATACTTTTTGATGTAAATTTTGAAATCAAAACTTCATGTAGTTTTGATAGTAGGGATTTCTTTTTTTCCCCTCAGCAAAACATTAGGATTCTCAAACACAATCTGAAATAAGGAAAATTTACTTATTTTTACTTTTGAGAAGAGACTGACATGTCACTGCCAAATACACTATTCTAAAACAATTTTATTTAATTCTATTAATTCATTCAACATTTTTGTTTTATTTTTGCTGACTGCAACATCATTTTCACCTTTGCCTCCAGGCCCTCACCATGAACTCCGTACTGTCATCTGTGCGCTCGCTAATGCAAACCTTTGATGACAAAGTACAAGAATTCATCAGTGACATTGACAATGTCCACATGGTTTGGCTTCGAGAGATCCAACAAGAAGCTGAGCACATGTTCTCAAGGTGGGTTGTCGTCAAGGTGGGGTCATCAAGACTTTTACGTCTAATAACTGTGTTGTTATATAATCTTGCATTTTAAGGCATTTCGGGGACTTGATGCCCAAAACGCCCTCACAGAAAAAGAACAGTAGAAGGAAACGTGTTTCCATGGGTCGTCAGGAAGACGGTCAATCAAAACGGAGGTTTGTAGTTCAATTACTAATAAAGTGAAGGCATGGGTTTAGCTTTATTATTGCCTTTCTGAAATCTAAAATGTATTTCCATGGCCAGGTTTTCAAAAGGAAGGCGCAGTAACCTCCGTGGCTCCTCTGTCAAGTCTCTGAACCTCATTGCCGAAGAGGAAGCTGCTGCTGAATGTTCTGCCTCTGAGGCAAGGGCCTCCCCTCAGCCTAAACGCACCACTCGTAAAAACCAACAGACTCAGCCAGAGGTAACGGAGGACTCACTCTCTGGCCAGTCTGACTCTGATAATGCCAAGAACAAGAAGCCCGAGCTGCTGGAGGATGAGACGGACAATAAAGAAGTGGCCAGTACAGGAAAAATCTCTCCTAACAATTCATGTGATGATGCTGAGTCTCTGTCTAAGGTGACTTTAACCAAAGCTGTAGTCAGGATGACCTCCACAGACCGCTCGTCTGCGGAGCTGGCAAAGGACCCAGAGTTGTCTCCCGGACGCACAGCCTCTAAAATCACCATAACAGGGTCCACTGAAAGCTCATGCCGGAGCTCTGTGCGCTGCTCCCTGAAGCTTCGCCACTCCCTGGCTGGTCTGCGCCACAGCATGACGCAGGAGTCCGTTCGCCGGGCCTCTCGTCGCTCCATGATGAAGAGGAAGGCAGCACGTGCAGGAACCTCTACATGCAGCAGCGACATTAGTGGTGAGTAGAGTTGTCCCAATACAAGTATGATTATTTTCACCAATACACCCCTGGTTTGGCTTACAATGACTATTTATTGAACTAAAAGGCAGTGTTATACATGTGAAGAAAATCTTTCTAGGCAGTTTTTTATTGTCTTCTTATAACCACGAGACAATAGACAATTTTAGACAATATATCAATAAAACTAAATATAGAATTTAAATATTATAAAAAGAAAAAGCATAAACACACACTCCTGCTAAACAAGAGAGAATCCCTTTTATACCTTCAATACTTTCCAGTTAAAGTGTCACTTAGACTGAGTAATGCAATAATAAGGGGAGAATATATATATATATATATATCTTGTTGTATCACAATATCTACATTTTCAGTTGTGGAAGGACTTTGGTTGATGCTGACATGTTATCTGTTATGGCTTGTGTGATTTTTAGAGGACTCATGTGTGGACTCAGTGGATGAAGAGAAACAGAAGGCGTAAGTAAAACTCAAAAATCTTTGTCATAAATGAGATGGTGAACAGGAATAAACGGTTTCTGGAAATGATAAGGAAGTTCGTCCTTGTTTTGAATTCTAATTACAGACCGTTTCTTGACCATGTCATTGTTTGTACATTTATAGTCTCACAGAAGCTGTACCTGCAGACATGGAGGATGAGGCTCCGGAGGAACCATCAAAGAGCCCAGAGGTGTGTATGTGTGTAGAAATGTTATCCAAGTGTAAACAAGGTCGTACATCTGCGTTGTATAAACCATTGAATGTGTGTTTCTTCACGGGGAGCAGAAAGTTCCTCCCGCTTTTCAACGTGTGACTCGCTCTGTGGCGGCTAACTCGCCCGCACTAGCTCCTGAACACGGGGTTGGCACACCTGTCAAGAGAGCAGGTAGAGGAGTTTATTGGTTATCACTTTTTAAATCCAGTATGGGCTTCTGCCAGGACAGTTTTGTGAACAAAAAAAATCCTCTTTGTTTGAATTACAGTTGATGGCACACAGTCCGGCAGGAGGTGAGTCTGTCTGTTTTTTTTTTTTAACTCTTGTTTTCTGCAGAGATTTGCATAAAGTGCTCTTGTGTCAGTCACTGGAGTGACATTTTCCAACATGTCGAAGTAATTTATATTGAGTGCTTTTTTTTAAGTGTTTTTGAATGTTATGCTCGTTATTTCTTTTAATCCAGGTCTCAGAGCACCAAACGTAAAGCACCAGACTCTATTGAAGAAAGTCCTTCAAAGAGGTTAACACCGCCCAAGAAGAGTCACAGTGTAAGACGAAGGAAAATATTGTGTTCATTTACATATCTGAATTTTTTTTTCTGTTAAATTATAGGGAAAAATTAGGAACAGATTCTTGAAGTTGTCATTTTATACCTTACTCTAACTCCCCTTTCTTATTCTTTTCCCTCGTAGGTAATCAAGCCCAACATGAAATCTTTTCTCCACACTGTGCAGAAGAATCAGATGCTAATGATGACACCAAATTCCCTGGCCCGAACAGGGGTCATCAAGTCCTTTGTGAAATACACCACTCCGGTGAAAGTCGATCCTAAGGTGAGGTCAATAAAAGATTTCCTGGAAAGTGCTTTTGACATAACAATTAATAAAAAAAAAAAACATTGAATCAATGGATAATGTTCCCAGTGACTTGGGAATTTCCTCTTTAAATGTAGACTTTTATTTTCTAAAGTTCAATAAAAACTCCCTTTGCTCCTCACTGAACCTTAGCATAATTAATAGTTTGAGTTCAGACCGTTAAACTAGTAGTTATGCTGACATTGAATTGATTTGAAAATGAATGAAAATCTCCTGTTTAGACAGCAATCAGTGACACTTTCTTACTCTGACATTTTTCCTCCCCGTAGTCTAATGCTGGTATTGTGGTAAGTGTCATTTTGATGCACTGTTTGTTGTCTGTGGGTGTTTTAGTGGTGTCTTAATATCCCACCATACCACTGGATTAAAAACACACTGTAACATGTAAAAAAAAACACCTTTCCCACCTTCACATGGCCAACACATGAGGATTTGTCTGAAGAATTGGACATTTTTTTAGTTTTTGGAGTGGAGAAAGTCACACATGAGGATTTATATGAAGAATTGGACTTTTTTTTTTTAGTTTTTGGAGTGGAGAAAGTATGAAGAATTGGACATTTTTTTTAGTTTTTGGAGGGCAGCTTTAAAGAAACACTAAATTTTGACACCTAGGGCAACTTTAAAGAAACACTAAATTTTGACACCACTGTAGTGAAATAAAATCAGGTGAAGAGTTTTTGATTGTAGGAAAAGTTGTTTTCCCTCCAATGAATTCACTTTGAGCATCTGTGTGAAGGGGGCGACAGGATGTACATGTTAATAACACCCCGCCTCCCATCTTGTCTGTGTGATCCCATTGGTCACTAATAATCATTATTGTTCACTCAATCTAACCACCTTCAAAACTTAAACCACCTGGGTGTCTTTCCTTGTTGATCAGAAAAAAGCCTACATTTTCAAATATTCAAAAGCCCATGTTTCTGTGGGTTAACACACCGAACTGGGCTGGTGTATTGTAAAATCAGGTGGGGTGAGTTTTAAACCCAAGACGTTCAGCTGGACCAGGCATTTTTGTTGCCAATAAACAGGACTATTGCTATTGTGTTTTCAATTCTCCAGCACAATAATTGTTACTGAAACTTTATTGCAGCCAAATAAACAGGCGTTTATGTCAGTCTGTGTAGGGATAACCTGAAGTTGACTTTTTTTTTTTTAGACACAGCAGATGCGGTGTGGGTTGCATGTTGCTAGGCTAAATATAATATTACATTCTTAGTCTACAATCTGTAGGTTTTTTTTTTAACTACCAAAAGTGCGATTGTTTCAGTGTTAAATGACCAGAGACTGGGCCCTACTGAGGTTGTGCCTGGGCTGCATGTGGCCTGTAGGCCAGTGGATTCATTAGGACAACCTCTGAGTGTTGAGTGCAGCATTCATTTGTACCAAGCGAGGATTCATAGATGGAAGATGATACGACAGAAAATGTTTTTTGGATAAAAAATCTAGAATGTACCAGCTGAATAATTGGTTATTGATGTTATTCATGTTAAAAACCATAACCATGTTGCACAACGTTTGATGGACTTTTGCCTTTGGTGTAGGTGATCATATTCTCCAATGCATTTAAACCATAACATTTATTTTATGGTCTGTATATTTCTGACCAAGTAAGTTGATGTTTGTCTCCTCTTTTAAGACCAAGGAACGTTACAAATTGGAAGCACTTAAAAAGAAGCAAGAGCAAGAAGAGGAGAGGATGAAAAAGGTTGAGGAGGAGAAGAGGAGGAAACAGGACGAACTGAAAAAGTCAGTGCCTCAGTCAAGGATTACACTCTGAACAGTGGTGGGGAAAAAAACGTGCTTATCTAAAAACACTGCGGTCTATTGCTTTAAAATGTCTGTCACAGGAAACGGGACGAGAGGCTGAAGCGGGTGTTTGAGCTCAAAGTTAAAGAGGAGCTGAAAGAGGAAGAAAAGAAAAAGAAGATTGAGCAGAAGATGGCTCAGATTGATGAGAAAAATGATAAGGTATGTGAAGGTTTTCCCACATTTAAACCTGGAAGTTAAGACATTTTTTTTGTAGAATGTCTCCTGAAAGACAGACTGACTAATAAAATATGACTTCCTGTCTATGACATGGATGATAAAAATGTCTCTTTAGATCTGCATTTCAAATATGCAAATCTTTATTCTACACTGCTGGTTTCACGTGTAGAAGTTTTGACATTAAACAAACGATTACTCAACACAAAGTATTATGAATCGTAACAGTTCCTTGTTGTGCTTCTTCAACAGCGTTTAGCAGATGAGAAAGCCAAGAGGAAAGTGGCTGTTAAACGCCAGGAGGAGCTAGAGCAAAAGAAGAAGTTGGAGGAAGAGGCTCGAAAAAAGAAAATCCAACAAGCGGTATTACTATTAATTATAATTTCCATCATAGCCGTGCTTCAACAAAATACTCAGAAGTTCTATTTCTAGTTCTATTTTAGTTACATAATGAGAGTTGGCTGATTTACCAGAGTATAACTTTACTGCCACTTTGAAAACTGTGCTACTGAAAATCAAAATGTAGTTACAGTCAAAATCAAATAAAATATTAGTCAGACCGACCTTTAATGCTTTACTACTAATAATATTTATTTGTTGTTGTTGTTTTTTTTTTTTTATTTGTTCTTTAGGTATAATGAGCTTTTATTTCTATCAAATGTTTTTTGTTGAACCTTAGGAGGAGGAGAAGCGGCAGCAGGAGCTACTGGCCAAAAAGAAGGCAGAGGAGGAAGAACAGAAAGCTCGTAAGTTGGCTGAAGCTCGCAAAGCTCTGGAGCTCAAGAGGGAGCAGGAACGGGAGAGAGAACTGGAGAGAGAGCTGGAGAGAGAACGACAGGCTGCCGCTGAAAGGTGGACAAAATGCTTCATGGTTCATGTTGTAAAATCTCAGTTGTTGCTTTTTATCAGAGGATATTTGAACAAAAATGTTTTTTTTATTTGATGAGGTTGATGTCCTATTTTCTATTTCAGGGAGCGTCTGGAAAAAGAGAAAGCTCTCGCTTTGCAGCGTGAAGTGGAGAAAGCAGCGAGAGAGAAGGAGAGAAGAGAACTGGAGGAGAAAAGAAGGGCACTTGAAGAAAAAAGAAAACGGGTAAGCAAAAAAAAAAAATCTGGGATCAGTGGTTTTTTTTCACTAAATGATTCTCATCCAATGTTCTGTCTTTTTTGTTTCAAACCAATTTTAAAGACAAACGTTGATATGCTTTTTTTTTTTCTTCCAGCAGGAGGAGCAGCTGAGGTTAGCTGCAGAGAAAGCAGCCAAAGAGAGGGAAGCTGCACAGAAAGCTGCTAAAGAGAGGGAAGCTGCAGAGAAAGCTGCCAAAGAGAGGGAAGCTGCCAAGACAAAAGTAATAGAAATAAATGTGAAATACTTGTTGTTACAAAAGTAGTAATTTTAAGAGGGTTCTTTAATTACCTGGTTACTTAAACTTCCTTAACATCTCCAATACTTACAAAAAAAAAGAAATGAATACTTTTTTAAGTATGTATTATTTAAACCTAAAAAATATAAATACTTTTACTTTTGTATTGTAGGCTGTAAAAATATAAATACTAATACTTTTACTTTTGTATTGTAGGCTGCAGCCAGTCTGAACGTGACTGTGGATATAGAGGTAAACTTTTTTTTTTTTTTTTTATCAGCTGTTAGAATTAGTATGTGAATTCATCTGTGTAATCATATATTCACTACTTGTTCTTCATTCTTCACAGAAATCTGTGTTGAAAACACCTGTCGGAAAAGGTGGAGGCCTCAACGTGACCATTGACCTCGAAGTAAGTGTTTCTATTTAATACTACTGATAATTTTAGACTAAGACTATTCTATAGACTAAGATAAAAAAAAAACCCTGAATTCAGTTCAGTCTCCATGATGTCTCTTTCTCTAATCTTTTTTTCCCCAGAATTCTCCACAGTCCTACGTCATCACTCCCAAGGGTGGCAACAAACCTCTGTTCAAGTCCAAAAGTCTGGAAGACTACGGGATGGACCAGAACAGTGACGATTCTACTGATGACGAGTCGGCCCCAAAGAAACCTATTCCATCCTGGGCTGAAGGTCTGTACTTTACTGCTTTACTTTATTACACTAGCAACGGTTGCATCATGTTTCAGTAAAATCATTGATAAATGTACACAAGCCACTTAATGACAAGGTTTTTTTTAAAATATTGTTACTATAGTAAACAAATTATTTAGTTTTTTGCAAAGGACAAATAAAATGTTTTTTGCAAATATTTAGGAAAAACAGACACTTTTTGTCTTGACTCATTAGTCTGGTATTTACTCAGTGTTACTAGAAGTCTTCACCAAGGGTTTTTCTTAATAGGAGAAACAATGATAATCACATCAGAGAATGACATCGTCCTCGTTCGTTTCCTTTTTTTTTCCTGCTTCTTCCTCTTTGATCTGGTCTATTTTTTTTATTTATTTTTTATCGTGTTCCTTGTGTTCTCTCCTAGGTCCGAACCTGCAGAAGATAATAATGACACAGTATTTCAACCCACCTGACTTTGACTCCTTCTTTGGGAGGATTGACCCCCCCAGGCTCGAAAACATCTTTTACAAAACCAAGCCTCGTTATTTTAAACGTACCAGCTCGGCTGTGTGGCACTCCCCTCCAAACCTGAAGTAACTGTACACTGTATATACGGACAGTGATGTGTTTAGTTGGGATTTTTGTGTGTCTCTATGTAGTCTCTTTGCAATAAAGTCATGTTTTCTAAAATATGTTATTATTAAATGTCTGTTAAGGATTTTAGAAACGTCTGTTCCATTGTGTAAAATATCTTTCTTGAGACTGAAGCTTCAGTCTTGAATGATTTGTCGGTGATGGGATGTGGATGTTCAATTTTGCCCAATCAGTGAAACTATATGTGCAGGATGTGCTCTGACTGTAACTGGTAGATTTTCCACACAATTAAACATTTAATCACCAAACTCATGCCTTCCATTTAACCATATAACCTGTACGAGTTCACGGCTTTTAATAGAGTTTAATCTGATTAATACGTCAACAGCAGCTGATGAGTTAGTTGCTGCGGTATATGAGGGGCGAAGCACATCATGTCTCTATCTACATCTATTTTCTGCTTGTTGTTCCAGTTTTTTTTGTTTGTTTGTTTTACAAAATACACTAATATACTGAATATTGAAGCTGGCAATGAACAAAATTGCAAATGAGACTCCAAAAATGAGAAATATATTTTGGTTAATCAGAGGTGGCCATGTTGGATCAAGCATGTTTCGTTTTACTGATAACTTAAAAATTCTACATCCGTAATGTGACGAGGCTATTTTACTGCTCAGTTACGGTTTTATTAAACAGTGATAACATTGAGCTTCAGCTTATTTTCAAAAGGGCAAACAAATATCTTATGTTTAAGTTGATCGTCAGAGAGTGTCAGCTGTTGTCTTTGTTACGACAGCACCACATTCTGCATAAGCTGAACATCAATGCAGACATGTCTTGCCAAAGGGACACAACTTCCACTAAGACTGCGAGGCTGCCATCAGCAGACATATAAACCTGGAGCTATACGCTTCTTATGTTCAGCTCTCTATGGTGAGTGATGCTTCAGACTCACAGTTCAATTATTAATTATTGTTTTCACTTATGGTTTTCATTTGACCCCCTGTAGGCATACTGTTTGGAAAGTGAGGACAAATCCCTGCCAAACGTGTCCATGTACTTTCAAGTTGATGAGTCTGGAGGGAGGCAGAATTGTTCTCCAGGACATTAAGGTATGTGAGGATACTTTACGTACTTCAAAAATGAATCATTAAATTCAATCATGTTGGATTATATTCCTGAATACCATGAGAAAACTGTGGCTTTATTCTGAAATATTTATTCTCTTTCAGAAACCTGATAGAGATGAGTGGTGGAATGGCCAGGAGTACCTTCTGGATCTTCACGTGACGGCGACCGAACACAACGATCCACATGTAAGTAAGAGACTAAGGATGAGTTTCTACTGTAAGACGCTTATTCCAGTTTTAATGTTACAGTACGGGTAGTTATTAGATTATACGACACAGAAATCCCCCTTAGGTTCTTTTGATTTTTAATGCAAAAGTACAATAAACATATTCTCCATTAATACATATTAATATGTATTAATAGTACCAGGTGTACTTGATACCAGTTTTGTCTGCCTAACTAATTTTTCTGGTGTAAACATGTGGCTATATTTTTGAATTTGAACCAACACAGAAACAGCGACCTTAAAAAAAAAACTTTTGTCAAAATGTGTGTCAGGAGGTTTAACATTTCACTGCTGCTGCTGCTTCTGCTTCAGCGTCTTGTCCAAATGTTACTGTTGCATTCTGTCACGGCTAGTGTGTTAAACACAGTCATGACTTTAAACAGGCATTGTTGAAAACAAAACATTTAATGAAGGGCGTGGTGTGTTCTGCCCAACAACCACTGAGTTCCCACTTAGCAACCTACAACAATGTGATTACATGAAACGCGTTTCTGGACAAACACCTCAGATGTTTTGATAGATGTGTTTTAACGTTTAAAAAGGTGTAAACAAAATTTTTTATTATACTCCACTTCCTTGAAAACCCAAGTGTAGGTTATAAAAATGTCTCTGTAGTGGTGTTTAAATCTTAATCCTAGAGTTATTCCTCACCTCATGAGGATTGAAACTGGCATGGGTCAATTATATCGTTGCTCGTTCCATTCACCGTAAGAAGAGACAGCAGCTGAAAATTGGCTATAAAATGTTGTCTTCATATTCAACAGCATAGAGTCTCAATATCTGGATGAACAGGTTGAGTCCATCAAACAGCTTGGTGATCTGCGTTTGATCGGTGAAGACAGACGTTAACCTATCACTGTGCTGCAAATCATCCAACTACCATACAGTTTGAGGTTAAGGTTGAACTTTATTGATCCCACACCATGGGGGAAATACTCGATTCCCATTAAGTTGTGGAAGGAAACATGTTCTCCAATATGTTTTCTTCCATACATGCACCTTGTCAGTTGTCACTTCTCTGTTCCGTTCCTCCCACTGCTTTGTTCACCCCACCGTGTACCATCACGCCCAGCAGGTCTCCATCGGTCAGTGAGATTCCTGAATCGTTGGGAGAGTTGTGTTGGGTTGCTTCCTGTTGCGATGACCCTGAACTACACATTGAGTTGATGTTGTTGCCGAGCCCGCTGTTGGTGCCTCCGCTGCTCCCCCTCAGGTTGGCACTGAAGTTCCCATGGTTACTGATGTTGGTGTGACTTGTACCATTGCAGAGACTCCCTGTTGTGCCGCTGTGGGTGCTGGTTCCATTAACACTGCAGGGGCTGCTGTTGGGATTGCTTTGGTTTACACTTGCTGTGCGGAATGGTGGCGTGAAGGAAAACGAGAAATCCCGCTCTCCTCCAATTCCTCGAGCACTTGCGGGTCCAGTGTCAGATAAGGGGAGGTTCTCGAGAGTAAGACGAGGAGGTGGAGGCCGACGAGATAACCCGCCCTGCTCTAGTCTGACTTTAGGAGGTGGACAGAGTTCAGGGAAGGAGAAGGCTTGGACACCGTGTACCTCACCATCTTCACTAAACCAGGGGAATGCAGAGGACGGTGGCACTGGTACTTGGCTAGGTGTGTCGGGGGGCAGCTGTGAGCCCACTACTGGAGGAGCAAGAGAACTGCAACTGCGATCGCACTCATTCTGGCTCCTGCGGGCAGGTCTGGGGCGAGGCACAGAAGGGGGCACGCAATGGATGGGTGTCTGTGGGCAGCTGTAGAAACCCGGTCTCTCATAGAGGGACATGTTGGAGAAGGCGTAGTCCGGATCTCGCTCATGGTTGAATGGCGGGTGAACCTGACTAGGGGTCGATGGAACCTCGGTGTGCAGATAAAGAGGAAAGCGACTAAGTGGAGCTCGAGGTCGACGGCGCAGCAACGAAACCCGGGAGGAGCGGGAGAAGTTAGGGGACTGGACACCAAGAAGACGTCCCAGTCCTCCGAGCAGGGGAGTGGAGTAATTGGCCTCCTCGTGTTCTCTGATCTGCTCCAGATTAGATTGGAACTCCATCTCCTCTTTAGCGACACTAGTTCAAATTGTACAGAAGGTTAAAAGACAGCGTTCAAACCACATTTGCCAACTGCAGAAAACGTTAGTCCACCTGATATCTAAGGCTGAGCCCAGGAAGGAGGGTTTACGATGTTCAGCACTGGCTGCAGTGTAAGGAGGCTGAGGCTCAGACTCGTTCCAGTACATGTCCCTCTCAACCAGCGGCAGGCTGTCAAACATCTCATCTACGGATAACAAAGACACCTGGGACAACACAGAGAGTTGAAGACAGCCAGGGGACAGTGGAATAAGAATACATGAAAAAAATAAAAAGAGCCAAACCTGTAAATTGCGATCAACGAGCCAGTTGGTTTCAAAATCATCGTCGTCTTCTCCGAAAGGATTTATGAGCTGCTCGGCTACCTGAGACCAGGGACAGACAGGCTGGCTCAGAGACACAGCTTTGATGTTTACTATTTGAGTCTGAGGTTGGAAATCAAAAGCCTAAACTTTTGTTCCTCACCTTGAGCCACCCGACGTAGAAGAAAAACTGCAGCAATGTGAACACAGGCAGGTAGAAGTCCAGGTCATGACCAGGGTAACCTTGAGACGGATCCAGGAACTGACGGCCAATCAAACAAGCCAAGAAAAAACTGTAGACCGCTATGGTGGCCACCTAAAATAAAACCATCTGTCAGGGATTTGTCTTCACCTTAACGTCTGCCTTTTCATCAGTAATCCCTAGAATTATGTTTAAATACACAGTTGTTGGACAAAATCTTTTTGTCCCCACATGAGTCATGTGACATGTTCTGTAACAAAGGTCCATTTAAGATGTTTTTTTTTTTTATACCTGAGTATAGACGAGAGGCAGGCTGATCCAGTCGTAACCATAGAGCTTCATACACTTTGACCGTAAACTATTCAGTTCCTGAAAGTAAGAAAAGAGATATTCTGTTAAATCTGTATTTAAAAAAAAAACCCAAAACAAATGTCTTTGAAACGGGTTTATGAGAGAGAATTTTACAACTCCTACTGTAAGAATGGCTGTTAGTGCCACGTCATTGTTAATGCGGCCCTCAGACCGCGCTCGCATGGCCAGATTAACGAACCACATGCAGGGCACCCAGAATTTATTATGTGGAGAAGGCAGATCCTCCAGGCTCCTCAGCTCCTCAGGAGTCATCAATCCTTGTAGGAGTACAAAGTCATCACAACTACAGTAACATGACAGCAACGTTTCAAACGGCTCCTCTTCAGGCCATACCTGCCTGCACCAGATGCTGCATGGTAGGAAACCTCTTGTAGACAGCTGTGCTGACAGAGCGGTAGATAAGAATACCAGACAGGTTGGCGTATCTCATCAGAGTTCGTCGGGTCAGCCTGGAGGCCTCATCAGCACCCCTAACATGACCTCCAACTAATGCTGCCAGGCGGTCTGGCCAGGGGACGTTTTCAAACTGGCCCCACCAGCGTGACACAACCAAGGTCACATAGAAACCTGGGTGAAGATTTCAAATAAGGTGAACTCGCATGTACATCGTTGCGAAGGATAGAAAAAAAAAAGTGATACTTTAACACTAACTGACCCAGTACAAAGGACACAGGGATGAGCTCAGCATAACGGTCACAATATATGGACAACTTCTCAAACAGCCTTTTCTGGTCGTCCTTTAATATGAACCTGGTGACAGACACAGTGCTGGAGTCTTCATTTTGAAATCAACAAAAAAGTATCGGCAGAAGTATCAATCGGTACCTATAAATAGTACTGAAGAAGTAGTAAAGCACGGTGAAGATGATGAGCTCCCTGTAGAGCAGTTTATAAATGCTGCCTTTCCATCGCAGTAGAAGGTGGAAGAATGTTCCCAGCCCTGCATCAGCAACCCTGCGGGAGTATGTCACCGTCATCGTCGCTGCTGCTGCTGCTGCTGCTGCTGCTCACCAGCCAACCTACTCATTAAGTGGTGGCTGACATGGAGGAACCAACTCTGAGGTTGGTAATTTTGTTTTGTTTTTGTTTTTTTCTTGCTGAAAATTTTCAACGATCAACCTGTTCGCCAGTGTTTCCTCCTATCTGGAATCCAGGAAGAAATTGTACAAAAACATACGTTGTATTATAAAGTTTGACACAATCGTGTAAAGAAAATAAACAAATATAATACCTACCAGTGAATATAAAAATGTTGTCCATTATAGATGCTGTGGCTTGGCAGGTCCCAGAGAGACTGTTTTAGAGAAAAAGGGGGAAGAAATATTCCTACACGTCCGGTCACTTGATTTGTTAATCTCATTCTGCAACAGAGAAGCATTGTGAGGTCCAGATTAACAGCTCCAGGTCCAGCTGCTCTGCCGCACTGGTACAAAGGCTCGGCTGATGTTTGGAAGTAGGTGAGTAGTATGAATTTTTACCCTTGTAGATATTTGATCTCATTAAATCTAATCACTCAACTAAAACGAATTGTAAGAATCTTTCTGCCTTTTATTCATTTAATTTTTTCATTGAAACTTTTCCATTCTCAAAATGATCTGCGTTTGTAAATTCATGTACTCTGCAAAGTATCTGTACCCCAGTTGCGCCGTAGGGCCCCCACCTGCTGGAAGAAATGTGCATAGCTGAGTTGGAGTGGTCAGAGAGTGTTCGTGATGAACCCTTCCTGTTAAACCAGGCGAACAGCAGCAGGGGAGGTGAGCTGAGCTGACCGGGTTCAAGTCGCTAATCTCTGCCAGAAGTACTGCAGTATTTGGAGATTTTTACTCCAGTGCCAACAGTGGGGATTGGTTCTAAGGCATTTGGTGAGTTTACTTTGATTCTTTGTTTAGGTTTTGTCCTTGAATGGTGTCACGTTTGAAACAGTGAAGGAGTGAGGTACTGTTTTCCACGCTGACCTTGTGTGCATGCCTTATCTCAATGAAACAAATTCCTTGACCGTGACACAGAAGGAACCTGAAGTCCACCACCTTGGCAGGGTGTACACAGGTATTCAGAGTGTGAGTTATAGTTTAAACAGTGAATAAGTTCACTGTGAGCGATGTTAGTTACAACATTTCACCTGTGTCTGTGTTGTAGGTGTGTTTTCCCCTAAAGGCACGGCGATTGGATGTCAGGCAAAACAATACTGAGAAGTAAATCTACACTGGACACATTGAACAGTCGGATCAAATCTCCTTTCTGAAAACAGACGCATGGATGCTTTTGAAGGACTCCACAGTGTCCAGATCTCCTCCTCTCCACCTTCATCAGGTCCATCCAGCCGGGGATATGAAGTCCTTAAGTCAGGAAGATCTGGAATCTCAGTATATTCCTCGTCGGTTTTCTTTGGGACACCTGATGTTCGGCGAGAGCCGAGGCAAAAGTCCGGCAGAAAAACGCAGGATGGCGGCTGTGTTGTAGGACAGTAAGTGTCTTTTTGTAACACAAATGCTTTAACTAGTTACTGATATGATGTGTCGGGAACTTCAAACTTCTTTTCTGGTTACGTTTCTCCCGCTGTGTGAAACCAAACACATTTTTAAATTGAATATATGATTTGACCTAGGATTAGGGAGGTTAGAGTGTTGGGAGATTTTTTTTTTTTAAGTGGCAGCTGGAAGTACCGTCACAGTTATTCAGTAAAACGTTGATTCAGATTTAAACTTGTATCCATTAACAGTAATGTCTGAACCATGTGGTACAATTATTGTCTTCGTCCACGACTTTACTTTTAGCCACATTTTCTGACTCTATTGCTCCTTTGCGACCCAAGTCAATAGACAGTATTCATAAACTCCCGGGAAACATTATGCAAGATGACCCCAAAAAAAATCTCCTGCGACCCACCTGGGGGTTGTGACCCAGTCTTTGGGAAACAAAGCACTATAGGACCTCGGGATGGGTTTCTTGACCCTTCTGTCACCTCCTTGAACTAAACTCAATTTAGGATAATCATGGTTGGACTGTAGAGGGTGGATGTAGAAGTCAGGACAGGAGGGTGTTACTGTGAAGACAGAAGAAGAAGGCAGGGAAGCAAGGAGTGGATGTGCAGTCATGTGACCTCACACACACTCAGTGAGAACTTGTTGGAAGAAGAGAGAATAGTTAACACAAGAACGTGGATATGGCTGAGTAGCAGAACACAGTCAGGCCGGTGACGTGTACGCTCCAGTCGTTGTTTGTATGTTTACGTTTTCCAAGTTTGTGGTTTTTATTTTTATTTTTTTCCTTCACCGTGTTTGACGAGAGCTGCTGTTATTGCCTGTCTACGTCAGCGTCCGCATTCTTCCACTGCTGGCCGAGATTTAAAAAGGCTCAGAGCAGTTTCAGTGAAAAAACCAGCTCAGCACTGCTCTCGCCGCTTGAGTCCGACTGTGATTTGTTTTTTAAAAAAACGACAAGAACAACAATATTTTGTGAAGGACATTGGAGAATTGGAGACACACGGAGTCGTAGACACAGAGCGGGTGGAGGTTGAGCTGCTGTCCGGGACGCTGACTGGTAAGGGCGGCGGACTCTGAGAGGGAACCCGCGTCTCTACCACTTTTAACAAAAGTTAAAGAAAACGAGAACTACCGCGTTCAGTCACTAACTTCATTCAACTGACTGTGTTATCGCGTTTATTTAAACGATATATCGCAATATTACATTGAGTTTCCGAACAGTGGTCTACGGTCTTTTACTCCCAAAGTCATGCAGAGAAGCAGGGATAGAAAATGTTTTATATGTAGCTTGTTATGTGCTTTAATACTATGCTCTCTGTCCTCACCCATGCAATACAGGGCGCTGTCAGTCAGGGGATGTAGCTCAGTGGTAGAGCGCATGCTTTGCATGTATGAGGCCCCGGGTTCAATCCCCGGCATCTCCAGTGTTTTTTGCATTGTCCGTAGCCTGTGGTGAAGGGATTGGGCTTCTTACCACAACTTTAAACCCTGCCTTGGCTGGCTGTCTGGTTGAGTCAGCACAGAATACCTTGTTGTCTGTTGTATGGATCAGAAATCACTTGTATTAAATTGCTAAACAAGCTTCTTTGCTCTATGTACACTTTCTAGCTTTTTTTGTGATCATTATTTCGCAGGATAAATATAAATGTCCATGATACAAAGCCTGATTCAAAATAGTCGGCACATTGTATCTTGATATATACATATTCAATGATATTTCAATTTATTTATATGTTTTGGTCTATATTTTGTAGTTCATAGTTTACCTCCTGTTTATACGTCACAGAAAATCTTGCCATCAACCTAATCTATAATTAAATTACCCTGGTCTAAATGTTTACCTGTGGGAAAACACCTTAATTGCTACTTGTGTGCAGCGCTAAAGCCGAGCTACCCAAAATATAAGATCATGCTGAGTAAACAGTCATTCTGTTAAAGCTGTCTTGGCAACAGTGTGATTAAAGACCGACTGTTGACAGTGATGTCGTTTTGTCATGTGTCGTCCTGTTCAGGTTGATAGACCTGGATCCACAGCCAGAGACCAGACTGGAGGGAGGAGGCAAGGCCACCTCAGCGAGAGAGCATGGCAACCTCAGCCGACTCCGCAGCTCCTCGCTGGAAATCCGAGAAAAGGGCTCGGAGATCCTCAGGGAACAACTGGACGCTGCAAAGAAGGTGTCGTAAACCTGATCACAAAACATAGCGTGACCACAACAAAAAAAAAAAAACAGTGACAGTGCATATTTGCTTCCGAGCTAATGTGATTGTGCCACATCTCAGGAACTGAAACTGAAGGACAAGGAGTGTGAGCGTCTCTCACAGGTCCGGAATCAGCTGGAGCAGGAGCTGGAGGAGCTGACGGCCAGTTTGTTCGAGGTCAGCATTGGTCATATGACATGAGCCTTCGGATTTGTTTATGAGGAAAGTTGTGCTGAATAGCACAAACTAGTGACAAGATTTACTCTAGTAGAAACTGTCACTGACTGGCTGTCTTTGTACAGGCAGTTAGAGAGCACGCAGCTTGATGTAGTCAAGGGAAGTTCGTTACAAATATTTGCAAACAAATCCAAATCCTGCTGACACAGAAAAAAAATCATTGGATTCCAGTCCATTGTTATGTATAATTTATTTTCCCCAAACACACGGCTCAAAATGATACAGACAAGAATAAGTATCACGGGAAATTTAGACTCTGTCTGAACGTTTACACAACACAGATGTTCACAAGTTATTTTTCCCCTAGTCTAAGTCAGGTTTGGAGTCTTTGAGGGCCAATATAGGTCAAGTCTCAAGTCATTTGTTTCGAGTCTCAAGTCCTAGATTACTACAATGATTGTACGATTGTTGTCGGGCCTTCACCTGTCGTGTTTTGCAGATTGTGTGTTAACGTCTCCGTCTTTACAACAGGAAGCTCACAAGATGGTGAACGAAGCAAACGTTAAACAAGCAACTGCAGAGAAGCAAGTGAAGGAGGCTCAGGGAAAGGTGGGTGAAGCTAATCCTTACGCCGCCTCCAACGGCGGATGAACCGCAACGTGTTCCGTGACCGTGCCCTTCGTTTTCCCGCATCTCAACACCAGATCGATGTTCTGCAAGCAGAGGTGACGGCCCTCAAAACCCTTGTGTTGACCTCCACGCCATCTTCACCCAACCGCCAGCTGCATCCACAGCTGCAGCCTTCAGGAACCAGGGGAGCGCACAAATATGTTGGAGGACACGTCCGCAACCACACATGGGGGGTCTCCTCATCCTCACCTGGGAAACCAGAGCCGTCTCCAGTCTCTATTCATCCTGTGGTCAAGGAGGACAGAGAGGTAGGGTTAGGATTTTAGCGAAGTTTCATTCCCTACTTCATTAAATGTTTTTCTTTATCTTTGGACTTTCTTTTCGTTAAAGCTCTTCGTCGTATGTGGCGTTCTCATTTCTAACCTCGGACTAGTTTTTCCACTGTTCCTGCAGTTTCCTCTGCTCTCAGTCTGCTGCTCCTGCTCTCCTTTCTCTGATTCTCTGCTTGCTTCCTCGACACTCTATGACCTGTGACCCCTACTGGCAAGAGTTAGAACCAGACTCTAATGAGACACAACAGGTAACTGTAGCTGCTGAAGCACATTTCTATGATTACTTAAATAAAAAAAAAATAATAATACTGTTAGACGTAAACTTTAGCTAACATTTTCTTAACGTGATATTCCAGCTAATTTTAAGAGAAAAAAAACAGAGCAAAAGAGTGATTTACTTTTGGGGCTTTTTAGGATTTTTCTCATCTCGCCTTGAGGTGTATTGGTCTTTGAGCGGTAAGGCTTTTGTTCTTTTTTTTTTTAAAAATTCAGAAGAAAAACACAAGATCCTTTCAGCATTTTACAAAATATTTAATTTTTTTCTGTCTTCTGGTCTCATCATCTCTGCCAGAAAAAAAACACTTTTCAGATGTTCTGTTCGTCTGAGGAATGCAGTCTTACCTTAGTCAGTCCAACACTTTACAGTAGCAGTAGAAATTGCTCCAAAGGATCTACTGCCAAGGGGGTGCAGAGGGTGGGGGTGGGAGGGGTTCTCTATCCACTAGCTGCAGACAGATTCTTTTGTTTGTATCTCAGAGACTGCCGCCCCCACAGGAAGCTGGAGCCTTCCATGGCATGGAGTGTACTGAACGTGGCAAGTGTTTTGTCTGCTACATAAAATACTGGCCGGTCGCTACATAACCACGGGTCATCAGACAGTGTGTCCTTTTCTCATTGGCTACATTGTCACAGCTAAAAAAAAAACCAAAAAACTTTTTTTTTTGAATCCACTTGGTAGTTTTTTTATTTTGCAGATAGACTCAGTCCTGTACGCGGAGTTCCTCATGTGGAAGGAGCGTCCAAGTTTAGACAAGTCGTCCGCCTTCCTGAGTCGTATCTACAGAGAAGACATTGGACCCTGTCTGTCCTTCACAAGATTGGAGGTTTTCAGCTTTTTGCTTGCAGAATTTTTTTTTTTTTGAATCCACTTGGTAGAATTTACAATATGCTAAATCATTTCCTGGCCCCGCAGCTCTCCCAGCTGGTGCAGAGTGCTGTGGAAAACAACTCTCTGACTATCGAGCCCGTGGCCATGACAGCTATTCCAATGGTTAAAGCCTCTGCTGTGGAGTGTGGAGGCCCGAAGTGAGTTGTCACATTGACATTGTTCACTCTGTTATCTCTCCTCTCTGTCACCATTCACTACTGATCATTAGCCAAATCAACACTGAAAATTCACTCTCACTTCATTTTGGGTTTTTTTCACCTTTTCACACTGTATTTCAGAAGTGTTCAGTCACCAGACACATTTCCTAATCACTGTCTGAACTCAAATTCTTCTTTTCCAGTGGCTTTAGGGCAGCGATAGAAACGTAAGTCCTTCCCTGAACCAATGACACAACAAGCTTTCTACTAATCCATAAAACTAAAAACTGCTGAGTCGGTCAGCTGAGAGGTTGTAAAATAATGTGTCAATAAATAACCTGGATGGCTGTGCATGTGTCTGGTTAAACATTGATGTCATCTTCAGATGTTAACTCATTCGGTGACTACTTCCTCCTCACTGTCCACCTCTGTGTTACTGCTGTGCTGTCTGCTAAAGTATGCTAGCAGGATGTATGTGTACATCAGCTTCTGCTGTCGTCGAACGGTGAATGTGGTATCGTGAAAAAAAGGGGAATCAATACTGCAATGAAGTAGATATTTAAAGTTTGGATTTTCATCATGCACTTGTGACGGACATCGGGTTTTGTTCTTGTTTTCATCGTCATTTCTTTTCTTTTTTTTTTGCAACTAAGAAGCTCAGTTAAATTGGTAATTTCGTGTCCGTTGTGTGTGTGCATGCTTGTACACGTGTCTGTGTGGTGTATGCCCTCCTATTTAAAAAAAATACTGCGTATATAATATAATATTAGGTCATGTTAAAATGAATTATCATAAACAGTTAAAATTAGTAAAATCCAACTCATTGATAACACAGACACCTGAACAGAAAGTGAGCAGAGCTTTTTCGCCAAAACAATATTTCAGTGAAAAGCCTCCCCACACAATTGGCCATGTTTTTGTATAGATGTAGCATTTTTGCGAGAGGTTGTCTTCAGGATCTGATACTAACCCAGGCATAACTCTTCGTGTATGTATGTCTCAAGGTTAAAGGTCGGGTTTTCCTGACAGCTGATTTCTCGCTCATTGTAGGAAGTGCGCATTAAGTGGCATGTCGCGTCTCTGTAGACACCGCATCAAACTCGGAGACAAGGAGAACTATTATTACATCTCTCCCTCCAGCAGAGCTCGGGTAACTATCGCTTCTCCCTAACGTTCAGGGAGAAAAACTCTCTCACATACAGTATATATACCCTATATTTATATTTGCTTCAAGTTACCGATGTTTTTTTTTTCTACTCTTTTAGATCACAGCAGTTTGCAACTTTTTCACGTACATACGTTACATCCAGCAGGGCCTGGTGAGAAATGATGGTAGGTAAGGTTTGTCCGGAGTTGTGATAATCTGCCGACTTCTCACAGAGTGGGGACTGATCTGTTTTTATCTCCCCTTCTTCTCCCTGTCACATCCACCAGTGGAGCAGATGTTCTGGGAGGTGATGAGATTCCGCAGGGAAATGAACGTGGCCAAGTTAGGGTTCTACCTCACTGACCAGGGCTAGAGACGGTGACGGAGCAGTGAAACTGCAAACGGACCAACCAGAGTCCGACTTGAACTGTGGTAACACAAGTATTGTAGTTGAGGTTCTGCGACCGACCGGGGATGAACCAAATGTTCCTTTCCATGCAATCAGACAATTACGATTTAATCCATCCAGATAAGTTTTACCTCAGTATATGCAAAATATCTTCTACCGTTCGTCATCATTTCTCAGAGGTTTTTCTTATTTAATCTGGTGAACTCTTGACCTTAGTGAACAACAAAAAATTTTTAAAGACGGGCAGACGATCAAAGAGTTGAGTTCATTTATTACCTCAGGTATCCCCTTGTGGACAGCAGGAGTGTTTGACATGCACGAGACTGTGTTTGAGGGTACGTCAAAAAGTTCTAAGACCAATTGAAAAAAATATTTATGAAAATAACAGAACTCTCTCTCTCTACGTTTTTTTTTTTTACATCTTAACACATCTGCAGGCAGTGTTGCTATCTGGGAATTTATAGAATTATGTGGGATTTCGTTTGCACCAGGTCATAACCTGCTTATTTGCCTTTCAGTTTTAGGAAAAAAAACTGAAAAAAAAAAAATCTGATGAGGTTAAAACCAGTTCCAAACCTCTAGTATTTGGCCCATAATTAATAATTAAAATGTAATGGTTCCTCTGATTTAGACATTTTAAGTGTAACCTCTTCAAAACCCAAAAAGAAATATAATGATAAAACGTTTAAAGCTGTTTGAGACACCTGAGAGACATGCCTTAACATCATTAAAATCAAACACCATCTTAACATTCTTTTTAAATTAAATTCACAGTACTACTAACAGCTGTCTTAGAACTTCTCCTAACTTGCCGTAATACACGTAAAATCAATCTGAATGTGACTCTAACACAGAGTACACATGAACATCTAAATCAGTTCTAGGCTCCAGTCGCAGGAACTGTCCTAATACATGTGATCATGGCCATCATTGAACTGATTGCACACTTTGCACTACCTTTTTACACAAGCCTTTTTGAAGATGAAGAAACAAGAGGCAGTAGAAATGTGTACTTTTCATATAATATTACTCCTCAACATACAAAATATTGACCACCGTTAAAATGTTTATATAAACGAACATGCCTCAAGACATTGTTTAAGAAACAACAGTGGTTTTGCCTGTCTGCCAAACACACACGACATAAGCCATAAATGACTTTGCCTCAGTGCGGAACACAGCAATAATATGTAGTTATTATAGTGTATCGGTTACAGATTGCAGTGAAAAATCAGGATCGGTGAACAATATCAGAATGTGCAGTACTTTCCTTGAAGCCTTGAAGCCTTGTCTCTGATTGGTTCTTACCGGTGTTTTCAGTGGAAACATTCCATTTAACATCAACCTTTGTACCAGGTCTGAGTTACCCGGCCGAGTTTGCATAAAGTCTGGTATCAGTTAAGTGTCTCGACTGGTGGTTTGCGATGACTCATGGTTGTTAGTCATTTCAATACATTACACTTGAGTGATAATTGTTACAGTACAATAACATGACCTATTTTCAGAAGGCTTTACTTTCCAGTCGGGGTCAAATGGTTTAACGCACGCCCACTGCTGCAGAACGGAAATGGAAAACATCAGGGTTAGGAACTGAGCTCGGATGATTTACAAGAATGTGTGTTTTTGCAGCCGACGTTCCTGTTAGTCTGTGGTTTGATGAAGAGAGTACATTATTGTGTTTCTGTACAGTGGACCTCATGCAAAACATGAAAAAAGAATTTTTCACATTTTTCAGTCTTTCTATGACGTTGTCGAATACGTTTTTTCAGTCACGGCGCAAATAAAAAAAAAATGTCCATAAAATAAAATGAATTGCAGTAAAATGAAAATGAATTGTTTGGTAATTATTATTTAACCACAATTTACCTTAATTTAACTTAATCTGAATATATGTATGCTCTGCGAGTGGGGTTTGAAATGTACCTGCACAAGGAATGCTATAGACATAGACATTTACATTACATTATTCACGAAACGTACCTTCGCTGTCAAATACATTTTAACTTTTATCTTGGCAACACTCCGTTGATGCAGTAATAACCAACTCTTCCTTCCTGCCAAAATATCTGCAAGAAAAACGTACACCAATCTCTTAATCCCTAAATCTTTCAATTCCAGGCAACGTTGGTCTAAGTCTGTCGCAGCAAAGACAACGAACATACTTCAACTGACGGTTGAAACTGCAGCCTTACCTCTGATAACAGACCACGATCACCACCACTAGGGCCACACCACCAATAACTACCATCACTGCGGTGACTATGGCGATGGCGGTCGGCGAGGAGGGCTCTGAGCAACACATGAAAACGAACGTAACAGATCGGTAACAGACAGTCTGAACAATAAGAACGAGTGAGTGATTTAGCTACGACGTCGGCGTCAGAACTGACCTGAGCAGACAAAGGAGCCTGGTGTGTTGGAACACTCTTGGTTTGGAGGACAAGGGGCAACATGTTCCTCACATTCGTTAATGTCTGTGTGGGTTAAAAACACAGGGATAAACAGAGCTCTGTGTTGGATTACTTGGTTATTGGCCCAGTCACTAGTCGGGTGTTTGACTGACTCCCACTGACACTGATGACTGAACTGAGCAGCTCACGGCGCAGTCTGTTATTATAAATGTGAAAGAACAGGTTGTTCCAATGAGTGGTATTAAGCTGACATTTGTAGTACAAAACATGTCACGTCATTCGTTTGTCAGTGTAAATCATAATGCTACACTTGGAACTTTTTTAAAATCCAAAATATTTTGTTTTGCTCTAATTCAACTTCAGTCCACAGAGTAACACCAGAGATGGTGAGCCAGTATTAGATTTTTTTTTTTTTTTTACCTTGACATGTTGGAGGTGCAGAACTCCAGTGGAGGCTGTTTGGGTCACAGCTGACGGAGGAAGAACCCAGCAGCTTGAAGCCCAGTTGGCACTGATACAGAATCACAGCATCACACAGCAGGGAGAAGCCCGACTGTATCCTGGGTATTGGACCACAAAAAGGATCTGGAAAGAAGCATTTACAGGTCTGATATTAACCATGTGCACCGTAATGATTCTTCGTACCCAAATCCTCACCTGTGTCTGGTTCTTTCCAGGGGCTGAGGTCCAGGTGTGGAATGAGGGAGTGGGAACAAGGGAGCATGTCCTCCGGTTTCTCAGTGCGCATGAAGGGGTCAGCCGGAACGGCGGCGATGTGGGTGTTGTCACAGATGATGCGTGACAGAGATACAGCCTCTAGGTGTCTCCTCTGAGAGCTGGTGAACACTCCTTCCCTTTGCCACCAAAACCTGAAAAGAAATTTCACTTTTTAACCACATTGAAGTTTTGAGATGAAAGTATGATTTGCTGTTTAATAATCCCTGTCACCTGTCTCCGTCTCTCAGGGCTTTGAACTGTTTGGCCAGCAGACAGGCCAGGAGCGGTCCAACTCGACCTCCAGGCAGAGCGGGCTCAGAGATGGCTCCCACCCACACGTCGATGTTGTGGGGTGTCCCGTAGAGGAGCTCTAGTTTGTGAGCCAAAGTGGAATTTCCAAAGATGTCAGCCAGGTCTGACGTGGAGGAGGGAACGGAGAGGCCACAGAAACGGCGCCATGAGCTGTAGCCTGAGAAGATGATGTCAGACACCGACCCGGGGTTAAAGACAAGGTATGGGACGTTTGAACCACTACCACCACGTCTGATGCCAGTTAGACAGTCGTCACTTTTGATTGGCTTAATGATGCTAGGTTCTTACGGTCTAGTCACCATCCAAACGTTGCTTAGTTAGCATAATGGGTTCCTTGATTTATAATGACAATCAGTGGGACTTAGTTAAGTTATACTTCTGTGTAAATAATAATAATACTGGGGAGGTAAACACAATACAACTTTAAGTTGAATTGATTAAAAAAGTGTAAACAGTGATTCATCTTGAACCACTTAGAACGTTTCAGGGTCAGTAAATACACTATAATGTCTTATTTGGGACTTTTTTTAAACACAGGGATCAACAGAGCTCTGTGTTGGATTACTTGGTTATTGGCCCAGTCACTAGTCGGGTGTTTGACTGACTCCCACTGACACGGATGACTGAACTGAGCAGCTCACGGCGCAGTCTGTTATTATAAATGTGAAAGAACAGGTTGTTCCAATGAGTGGTATTAAGCTGACATTTGTAGTACAAAACATGTCACGTCATTTGTTTGTCAGTGTAAATCATAATGCTACACTTGGAACTTTTTTAAAATCCAAAATATTTTGTTTTGCTCTAATTCAACTTCAGTCCACAGAGTAACACCAGAGATGGTGAGCCAGTATTAGATTTTTTTTTTTTTTTTACCTTGACATGTTGGAGGTGCAGAACTCCAGTGGAGGCTGTTTGGGTCACAGCTGACGGAGGAAGAACCCAGCAGCTTGAAGCCCAGTTGGCACTGATACAGAATCACAGCATCACACAGCAGGGAGAAGCCCGACTGTATCCTGGGTATTGGACCACAAAAAGGATCTGGAAAGAAGCATTTACAGGTCTGATATTAACCATGTGCACCGTAATGATTCTTCGTACCCAAATCCTCACCTGTGTCTGGTTCTTTCCAGGGGCTGAGGTCCAGGTGTGGAATGAGGGAGTGGGAACAAGGGAGCATGTCCTCCGGTTTCTCAGTGCGCATGAAGGGGTCAGCCGGAACGGCGGCGATGTGGGTGGTGTCACAGATGATGCGTGACAGAGATACAGCCTCTAGGTGTCTCCTCTGAGAGCTGGTGAACACTCCTTCCCTTTGCCACCAAAACCTGAAAAGAAATTTCACTTTTTAACCACATTGAAGTTTTTAGATGAAAGTATGATTTGCTGTTTAATATTCCCTGTCACCTGTCTCCGTCTCTCAGGGCTTTGAACTGTTTGGCCAGCAGACAGGCCAGGAGCGGTCCAACTCGACCTCCAGGCAGAGCGGGCTCAGAGATGGCTCCCACCCACACGTCGATGTTGTGGGGTGTCCCGTAGAGGAGCTCTAGTTTGTGAGCCAAAGTGGAATTTCCGAAGATGTCAGCCAGGTCTGACGTGGAGGAGGGAACGGAGAGGCCACAGAAACGGCGCCATGAGCTGTAGCCTGAGAAGATGATGTCAGACACCGACCCGGGGTTAAAGACAAGGTATGGGACGTTTGAACCACTACCACCACGTCTGATGCCAGTTAGACAGTCGTCACTTTTGATTGGCTTAATCATGCTAGGTCAAAGGTCCTTACGGTCCAGTCACCATCCAAACGTTGCTTAGTTAGCATAATGGGTTCCTTGATTTATAATGACAATCAGTGGGACTTAGTTAAGTTATACTTCTGTGTAAATAATAATAATACTGGGGAGGTAAACACAATACAACTTTAAGTTGAATTGATTAAAAAAGTGTAAACAGTGATTCATCTTGAACCACTTAGAACGTTTCAGGGTCAGTAAATACACTATAATGTCTTATTTGGGACTTTTTTTGTCATATTTGTCATATACAGTTTGGTACCAGGCAAGCCGTGGTCTCTGCCCCTCTGGAGGTTCAAGGACCCCAGGTCCAGGGGCATTCCGCCCTGTGCCTGAAACAGTCTCTCTGTCAGCTCCTCCACCATCATCTGACCCGGGGTCTGCAGCTTGGCTGGAGACAACAACAGACCACGCAGGACAGGGTCTATACCACCTGAGAGGAAACGAACACAGACTTCAGGAAAACTGACAGTACCTTTAATTAAAAAAAAAACCCAAATGCACTCATCTTTACCTTCCTGCACAATCCTCCAAGAGGCAAAAAGTGAATGGTGCAGGGGCAGAGGAGGATGCTGGGAATTTGGCGTGTACTCCGGACCCAGCCTGGTAACCACCGGGTGCACTGTGACGTGGGCAAAACGAAATGCTGCTGCTGCAAACATGTTTGCTATGCTTGGATCCGTTTCGGGATTATAATCCTGGTAAGGAGGCATCAGGAGGGACATGGCAGTATCACCGAGAATCTGGGGCAGGTAGTGGTCCCACGTTAGGATCTAGTTGAGAAAAAAAGAAAGAAAGGCTGGTCAGCGTTTCGGGAGTTGTGGGAACAGAAAGGTTAGATCGTAGACCAACTGTTAATCACACCTGATGAATGGCTCCTATGATTTTCCGCGCCTCCTGGTAGAGGATGTCAGGGCTCCAGTGGGGGTTGAGGAGCCGCAGCTCTTCGACCAGACGGTTGTGCTCT